CTGTGTAACTAAGTGCAGTTGCAAAATCTAATTTGGCTCAGACAACAAGCTCAAACATTAACCTCCACTAAAATACCTTAATATTTATTTGCTATAAGAAAAATAAGATGTCATCAGTGTCCTGAAAATTTGTAATATCTTTGAAGGTGAGTGAACCCTTATATTTTGAAGGCTCCTTGATTCAGGGGCTTTTCTGATGTTGACAGCTGGTATATTGTAGTGGTCCTTTCGGGAGGCTTATTTTCCTCCTAGAAGAAGATGAGGGGTGCGGTAATATTGCAGATAGCAGGGTTTTGAGAGGGGGAAAGAAGGATGTTTGCCAGAGCCCTGAAAGTAGCTGTGTTGTGATGTTATCTTATCTCCACCACAGCACAGGGCACACGGTGATAAGAGTTTGCTGTGTTACTACGGCCACACATGCACAGACCTGAACACAAACACCCCCCACACACACAGACACAATCACTCAGACACAGAAACGCACCCAGCCAAGGTCACAGTCACTTATAAGTAGATGCTGTAAGTATTGTGGGAGTGACAGGAGTCCTGTCTTCCTCTGGTCTTCACAAATCACAGCGGCCCAGACCCTGTTCTGATGTGCCAGTGCTAAAAACTATTAAAAAGAAGAGTATAGTGCCCCATTTTATCTTTGACATAGACAGCCATGTCTTATCACTCATAGGCCACCTGGGATTTGCCAGAAAAAGAGCTTTTTTTCTTAACCTGAAAGCTGTACATGTGTTTGATATTTACCTCTCATGCTCCCTCTGAAAAGTGTGTCCCTGTGTGACACTCTGATAATGTGAGCACAAGCGTGAAGTTTCACTAAAAAAACTTGTTTGAGTGTTGGGGGAAAGGTCTTTTTTTGGTGTTGTCTTCTGTCTGAACTGCAAGGATACCCGGTCGCTGGATGACAGACGGAGAGGTTGTTTCTAACAGGGGGAATTACTTGGCACTACTTGTGTTGCCACTGTTACAACCGTCTGTGTCTTTGTCTGTGTCTCTTTGGAGCCAGTCAACAGTGAAGGATGATGTTTGGGAGAATCATGCTGCCATGAACTTCAACATTTATTTAATACAGTACATGCAATATTATGCAAACTAGGGCTGTACAGTATGGTTATGAATATGATTGACATGATATTAATAAAGCCTTCAGGACTTCAAAGTTCATTCTTGATCTTAGAAACAGCAGTTGACAAAATAATCTCAGCAGCAGCTGTTGTGGAGGTTTCAATCAGATCACATGATCTTCATCAGCAGATTTCAGACTTCTCATCCATGTTGGTCTAAAATTTGAATCTCAGGGTTTGCTCCTGACTTGGAAAACAATTTATAAAGATACATTCCAAATTCAGCATATATCACAATATGAAAAATCATATCAGAATTCAGGGTGCTTCTATCAGAATCTTGGGGGCGGATCACCGGAGGCAGTATTGGCCAATACTGATCATAGATTATGGGGCCTTTTTGAAGCCTTCTGTTAATCCTGTAGCATTATTTATGTGTTTAACTATTCCTAACAACACTACATATTAAGTATTAAAATTAAGAGATGAGAGAGTATCATGAATTGACAGCTGTTTATTTATTGGCAGGCAACATGTGCAACATATTCCACTCTCTCTCTATAAGACAGAACTCAAACCACAGCAGCCTTCGATTGGTTATTGGGAGAAATTTACAGCTTAACAAATATAGCTTTCCTGCACACACCATGTTAGAAGAATAAATAACACTGAGGCAAAAAGTGTTCCTCCTGTTTTTGTTTTTTCTTTTTTGTCAAGTTTCAGTTAACTAAAAGTCTGGGCATTAGTCAAAGAAAATCAGAACTATTGTAGTGTAATTTTAGTTAATGAAAACTGTTGACATTTGAGTCTTTTATAGCCATTAGATTTCATTGAGCATTACAGTCAATCTACCCCCACCAATTTTTTTTTTCATTTTAGTAAAACTTATTTCACATGACATTTAATCTTATCATTATCCGGTGAGAAACAAAAGCTGAATCATTATTTGTCCTGCTGCAGTTTTACAATGGCGTCCCCTCATCAGTCAAACTATTCAGAACAAGTACTGTCTGAAAACCACTGGTTGCCAACCTATCAGAGCATCTGTATACATGATGATCAAGCTGATAATGATAGATGTACAAAAGGTCTTACATCAGACCAAACTCTTTGTTTTTGCCTGGAATCGTTTTTAGACCTTTGTAGAAGGATAAAACGATAATTTCACAACACCACAAAATGATTAAACTGAAAGTTGATAAACAATTATAATGGTGCTGAGACAGTCCTTTTAGATCAGTCAATCGATAGAAAATTAATCAACAATGCTTTTGATAATCAGTCATTATAGTCTGCATTTACAATCAGAAACTTTGCTTTGAAATGTGAGGCTTGGCTGCTTGCTGTTGTGCAGCATTGTAATTTGAATAAATTAAGGTTTTGGACTGTTAGTGAGATAAAACAAGCAATTTAGAGATGTTACCTTGGGCTCAGGGAACTAATGAAGGGCATTTTTCCCACATTTTTTTTGGCATAAAACAATTAATTGAATCATAAAAACGAATCAGCAGATTGAATTTGAAAATAATAGTTAGTGGCAGCCTAAGATAATATTGAATTATCGCCTAGGCCTCAAGCAAAACATTCTGAATATTTGCTATGCACTCCATATAATCTGAGAATCAGTGATACTGCATACAAAACAGAGCCAAAGTAGGAAAATATTTTGGCAGTAGCAGCAGTTTGAGTTTCTTTTACATGTGGTTGTAATCAGGCGTCTCTGATTCATCCATCCAGGGGTGTTTGTGCTCACACCGAGCCGCTATCTGTGATTTGCAGGGGAGAATTTATTGTGATGTTACAAAACTGATATCAGAATATTTTACTTGCTAAACTCTAAGCAGTATGCAAAGAATATTTGCGAATAAACAGCCTCTTCACACTCAATTCAATCCCTTTCAAAGCCCAATTTAAGCCAGCAACAAATCTGTGGGCGCGAAACAAAAAGCGGATGAAAAAGCGAGAAGTCAGTTTCGACTGGTAGTTGTCCTCTCAGCTTAGTTCCTCACCCTCCTTTTCTTATCTCTGCGCCACATACACACCTCTGTCTCCTCTTCCTCAATCACCTCTCATTTACTTTCTATCTCTCAAGGTCCCCTCTCTGAGCTACCTGCCTATTTATGCTTCCACCATGTGAGCTGGTAGGAAATCATTGGAACGGAGCAAACCATTTATTAGCAGGTGTGATTTAATTTGTTTTCAGCAGGATGCTCCATTTCAGCGTGAGGGTTCATTTGTCCACAGAAGGCTGTGTGAAATTGTCATTGCAGTGGTCCAAACTTAACTTTTACAGAAACCCTGAAATGAGCTTTGTTATTTTGAAACTGGAACAAAAAGGAGTGAGTACATGAACATCTCAAGGCCTGCGTGCAGACTAATACTTCCCACTCCTCCTGCCCTGCTATTTTCTCCCCCTCTCTTATCTCTCCAGATGGTACTGTATAGACGATCCCACTGAACCCAGCATGTTGTCATCTGCCGCTCATGCGATGATGTGTTCACGACTACAAAAACAGAATTTTCAGTGTCTCAATTTTCGCTGCACTCATCGTCTGCTTGATAAGTCTGATAAGTGTGAGACTTTATCAAAGCGAGTCGTCCCATCTAATCAACTTGCCTCACAGCATCTTAAACTACATCGCCTCCTCACAAAGCAATCACACACTCCGATAGGCAATGAGGTCCCCGGGGGGTCACACTTATATTAAAACAAGAATAATTATACTGTTACATGCCATGCTTGCTCCCTCTATTTAGTTTTATAGGCTGCTGTAAGCTGTGGCGAGGATGACTAGGTGACATGAGGTTAAGAAAAGTGTCTTTTCATACCTGTTTTTCTATACAGTGGGAACTGGAGTGTGTGTGAATAGCTTTATGTTTGCGCTTGTGTGTGTGGGTGTTAATATTCTGCTGTGCAAGAAGATGTGCAGAAGATTTTGGTGTTGCTAGCTGGCTCTGCAATGATAATTCCTGCAGGGTTATAGCTCCCCAGCAGCTCACTTTATTCTGCGGATCCGTCAGCTAATTTCGCACTGACCTCAAGGAAACGCCTGGTTTGACCTTTGGCCTTCAATCGCCGCTCTCCGACACTCCTAACACTCTCACTCTTACCTATTTCTCTCCCTCTTAATAAGGGAAGACTGGGCAGACACAGTGTTTTGTTATGCAGCAATCACCTAATTAGCCGTCGAGAGTGTTGTTTATTTCATCCATAAGCTGAACGTAAACATCTGCTCATGTTCTTTGGTGGAGCGTGAGTTAATCATAAGTGTCTCTGTCGTAATATAATGAAAGTCGGAGCTGATTTAAGCAGAACTGGTTGATTAGTAGATATTTATGTGGTGGGGGTGGTGGGGGGTGGGGGGTACAACATCCTGGTTCAAAATACAGCAGGTTCATGTGGAGTTCATTGGTGCTGATAAGGAGACAAGAGTCACACGCACATACCTGCAGAGGAAATGCATTAATTACCCTTTTCTCAAATCCATTGTTGAAAAAAAGACTCTGCTTACAAATGCACTTTCTTTCTTGTTAAGATGGCTCATTCTGTCCTCAGTCACTGTGAAAACTTGACTGAATAACACAAACTGGTGCCTAGATGTATACTCCATTAACAATAATTTCTAAGTGTGATGTGAGTTTACTGGATATACTCAACCGTCCCATAATGCATTGTGTCTCTTGAGACTGTGCAACAGCGGAGATTTTGAGCCAGGCTAAATGCTGTCACTTCAGTAGGTTACTACACGTGGCATACTTAATCATTCAGTCATTAGGCAGTATGCAGTGCATACAGATCAAGCACACAGCCACTGTCTTCTCTGTTACAATCATTACAAAGTAACAAAGTCATTTGTTTTTGCTAACTCTAACCTTTTCTTAGAAATCTCAGCCCCTTTAACCCATCATTCTGCATTTCTCCTGCAGGTACTACGGTCAGAACTGAAGGAACGTGAGCACTTGGTGATCAGTACTTTGGATCAAGCCCGGATGTTTCTCGCTGACCAGCCCATCGAGGGTCCCGGAGAGCCACGCAAGAACCTGCAGCCAAAGACAGGCACGTTTACACTGTCCATAAAAACATCTGCATGCTTCCTTTATCAGGTATACTCAACTTGATTTGCCAGAGGGCCACTTCTGTAAAGTGGCAGGAGGCCAGGGACCAGTTAATAAACAAACAATAATTCTTATTAGAGAAAATTTATTAGAATTAAAAGGCCCTTAACTGATCTGTCTTTGAAATGTTTTACTTTCAAATTAACTGACTTATTAACTGCTTGGCCTGGACCTATGTCTGGGGTCAGGGGAATCCTCACATGGCACTGTTTTTGATGTTTTTGTATGCACTCTGGTACCTTATTTACAATCAAAGTGCAAGACAGAAATTCACAATGTGAATCAGCTTATTTTAATCATGAATGAAATAATGGTAGGCAGGCCACCACGTGTGGTCTGCCGGTGGTAAGTTGAGTATCATTGCCCTTAAACACTGGTTTACGCTATAGTAAGCATTCTTTGCCATCACTGACAGGCACGGTGTTGTAAAACTGTAATTTACTAGTAGTGATGGATTGTTACCAGAAAGTAGAGAATATGTCATGGACGCACTTTTTTCTTGTCCCTGTGGGAAGTTTTCAAGGCAGTATATAATGGATACATTTCACTCTTGAACACTAAAATAAAATAAGAGGGTCAAAATAGTGCCATATACATTACGAATGCAGGCCAGGAGGTGTGTTCATGTGTTTTAGGCAGGAGAAATTGTTCGTAACATAGGTAAACATGTCACATGAGTCACAATACTCTGTTGACTCCGGGTGGCAGTAGCTCAGCCCATATAGACAGGAACGGGAGGGTGCCCAGTACAAGTCCTTGTAAGGACCAAATATGCCACTGGATATGGCACCAAAATAAGGCACTGAACCCCAAACTGCTCAGGGCACCTGTTTATGGGCAGCATGTGTTTGTATTTCAGGCCTGTGTGTGTATATGACAACAGAGTGAAAAAAATTTAAGTTTGCCTCAGGGATTAATGAAGTATATCTTCTTCTTCTTCTTCTTCTTCATATTCGCGGGCTGCAATACGAAGCTTAAAATTAAAGATACACTATACAGGATTATCCTACAAAACAATGTACAGACTCATGCAGAAGTAGGGATAGACCGATATGGATTTTTTAGGGCCGATGCCGATACCGATTTTTTTCCATCACCCTTAGCCGATGACCGATTATGGACTGCCGATTTTCTTGAGCCGATATTTGGGGCCGATACTGCTTTTGCTCCCTCAATTTACATCAAAAAAATGACACAATGATAACACATATTACAGGTCTCAAGTTTAAAATAAGAAACATTTATTGAACAGTAAAAAATACTAAAACAAGATGGAAAGTTGAGATAGAACAGGTAGAATATTATTATTATTATGCATTCAAATAAAAAAAAGAGTTCAGTGCTCTTAAATCTTCCAGTAATGTCTTTATAAAATAAACAAATATTTAAGCTGAAGCATAAATAAAACAACAACTACTGTACACAGTAGGATTCGCTGCATGTGCGCTGCAGGGTCTTCCGGCAACACAGAGCTGCCCGTGGATGCCTGTCTGTAAATCATGCCAGGGAAAAATAAATCCGCGAACCCACGCACGTATCGGCCGATGCCGATACAAGTAAAAAACTCAAGAATCGGCCCGATATATCGGCCAGCCGATGTATCGGTCTATCCTTATACAGAAGTAATCCCTCTCAATCATAACTTTTTCTTCTTTGTATTGTGTGAGACGGTGATAATAGAGCAGGGACATATGAACGGTCAAGAGAGATTAAGAAACTAAATAAAGTAAGATAGAGACATACAATAAAAATAAAGACCAACAAAACAAAACAAAACAATACAACACAAGCAAAAAATGCAGCATGGGCTTAAAGTGGCGGGTATAAAGGCAATGTGGCAAAAACAGAGATCCAGCAAAACTGTGTATACAGATGGATGTGTGTGTGCATATGTGTCAATCATCACTTACAGTGTGACCCACTAGAAGTGTGTAGTGGTGTTTTTTCTGCAGAGACTCGCTGCCTGAATTTTCTTATTTTCTTCTTATTTTCGGTGTTAGGGATATTTATGGGTGTGTTCTCCCGCAGCGCTCAGGTGAGGTTGGAGCTTTATAAAAACGTAGCAACCAGGTGCCAGACTGTGAGCAGCAGGTATTCAAGAGACACAATGCCGAAAAAATGCAATTATAGCGAGGCGAAACACCAAACGAGAGTGAATCTGGGGTTGGCTTTTACTTCCACTTTTTACTGGCGAGCTCTTGTACAAACAGTAACCAACAATCCTGCATAGTATACCTTTAAACCATCCCCAACTTCTACTTTGCCGCAGAAGTAACTGCTTGAGCTCAGAGCGGCTCCCACAGCTTTCCACAGCCATTGCATGTGAGCTCATCGCAGGCTGCACTTCGCTGCTGCATGGTGTGTTTGGCGTGACGCCCATAGTTCACCAGAATGTCCTTGTAGACTCCTTTCTAACAAGCTGGTAATAACAGATCACCAGGGTGTCTGACTCAGTACATTCTGTACCAAAAAGCACTTAGAAATTCACAGCAAGCCTGTCACGTTGTCTTAAAACTACATGTGAGGACTTACTTGGCCCAGTTTTAAGGTTAAGTGTTCTAGAAGCACCATTCACTAATGCTGGAGCTGGTTCTAATGCCAATATCTAACAGAGCACCCGAGAATGAAATATACAGCGACTCATTCAGCATTCCCTCCATGTCTTGGTCGGATGAGGCAGGGAAGTCTTGGTTAAGTCAGCACATTTCCCTTCAAACTAAAACCCTACTGTGTAAATAATTAAACCGTCCCAAGGGGCTGTGTAGGGGTGTGGTGAGACTTCAGAGCGCATTCTGATAGGCTTGTTGTCTGTGATCTTTGATACGGATATCAAAGCGTCGCCTCATTGTATAAATAGATAAAAAGCTGATCTAAGATCAGAGGCTGCACTTGTTGTTTAATCAGTGGCGATGGGATTTGTCGTAGTGACTCTGTAGCAAAGTCATAACAACTTTAATTGTCTTACATTCTCCGTCTTATTAATTAAGTTTCGTCTATGACACTAAATTGACTTTTCTTGTTTTGTTTGTACCCCACTTTCTTCATTACAAGAGACAGTTAGCATCATATTGTGTGCATCTGTGTGAAACACCACCTGCAGCACGTCTCACAGATGTCTGCTGTGTGTGTGTGTGTGTGTGTGTGTGTGTGTGTGTGGAGAAGAGAGAGGGCCAACAGGTGAAGATGGTAATCCTGTCCCTACTCTAGAGATGAGACCTTAGAACTCATAAAAGCTGCTCATCTTTCTTTGTAGTTTAAATGGGTATTTGGGGAGCAGTTTCTCTTCTGCCATCTTTTTTTCTTCCTTTTTGTCTGTGTCTTCTGATATGTCACAGTTATTCTGTCCTCTGTCCTCTCTCACCTTAATTCTCTCTTTTTTTGGTCACTTTGATCATGCCTTGACTGCCCTCACGTCCTCTCTTGCTGTAATTGAGATCCCTTTTTTCTTTTGTCTTATCACCTCCTGCCCTTCTCTTCTCCCTCCTCATCTTGAGTTATTTGCCTAAGCTGAAATCAAATAAAGGACAGAGGAATAATGGAAAATAATGTGCAGGAAGACAAAAAAATGCCCAAGAAAGCCTTCTTCAGTACCTTAAGAGCCCTGACACACCAAGCCAGTGGTCGGCCGTTGATCAAAGTCAGGCTGTCCGTGAGTTTTTGTGGTGTGTCCTGCACCATTGGCGCTAGTCAACCCTTGACAGCCTTTGTCAGCCCTTTTTTGGTGGATTCAGCACAAATTGGTGTCAGAAACGAGACGAGCAGAGAAGCAGAAGTTAGGAAAGCAAACAAAAAAATAAAGTCAAGGGGGCGTGAGACTGAAACAAACTTCTTATAAAAGTTAAGTTTTTTTTTTTTCTTTTAGCCATTCTGAAAGAGTTTGTAACTGTTTGTGTTAATGTCTGCTAGCGCACAGTAAATATTCTTTGTTCTGTCAACAGCGGGTTGTGTTGTTAATGTGCTAACTGGCTAAGTAGCGTCTTGAAGCTGTCCTGTCAGTCTTCTGGGTTACCTTTTTTGAATAACGAATACAGGCTACCTCCGTCTGCTGGAACGGAGAGTTATTTCCTCTCACACAGGTGCAGAACATGCCAGCTAGTTGGCTGTTGGTTGTAGTCTTTGCCATGTGTTCAAGTGCAACTTTTTCTCCAAGACACAGGTGATGTGAGGTGATGTAACAGTCGGCCTTCATCGCCATGCATTCTTTAATGTTTGTTTGATTTTTCTGGGCCCTAAAATGTCATCCAGATTTATGGACCCCTATATCTTGTGAAAATTAACTAGTGAAGAATTAGGGAAAATGGAAAAGAATCTGACATGGAATTGTCTAGAAAATCTTTCTATCTCTTCTTCCAATTATAACCTGTGTGTAAAAGTGCATAAATAAAAAAACAGTAATATCAGAATATTAATGAAGTTCAGTTTTCTGAAATATAAAGAGACAGTTGGAGGCAAGGATTTAAATAAGTTGCATTTTTGGCAAAGGATAATTTTATTAAGAGTTCCTAACTAATGGGAAACTGGAAACTAAGTATATATTGTAATAACATGCATGGAAACTGTCTGTGTCAACAAAATAACTTTCTTCTCTCTATTCTCTCTCTTCCCCCAGACCTCACCCCGGAGGAGAAGGCTCGAGGGTTGGCCCGAGCCATCCGCAAGCAGACGGGCGAGGTGAGGGAGCGATGGGAGCGTCTGAAAGGACACATGGGTGGCTGGCAGAGTCAGGTGGAGCGAGCCTTGGAGCGACTCCAGGAGCTGCAGAGCTCCATGGACCAGCTGGACCTCCGGCTGACTCGGGCGGAGGAGGCCAAAGCTACCTGGCAGCCTGTGGGCGATCTGCTGATTGACTCTCTGCAGGACCACATCGACAAGACCGTGGTGAGTTAGAGAGACAGCACTGCTGTGGTGTGCACTATTGCCAGAGCATCATACTCATCAAGACATCAAGTCAGGAATTAGACACCACACCCCTCTGTACATCATTACGGCATACAGCACCGAATCAACCTGAATAAAATACATCTTCTCTTTAACTTGGACGATCTTTCATGAGACCAACTGATTTAACAGTTAAGACGGTGCTGCCAATTGTGATTTGACTCCGTAGAAGTATTAGCCGAAACTGCACATCCATGAAATAAGTGTGTCAGTAGTGTGAGTCAGACTTAGCTGCGAATTCTCGCACAGTTTCCGCCTCTCTTCTGTTCTTCCTGGAACAAAGCCACTTGATTTAATGATGTACTCGGTTTGATGATTCTGTCTTGTTTCTTTGCAAATGCCACTCATCAAATTTGAGGATGTTGTTCCCCAAGGAGACCTGGCCAAGAAACAAGCAACACATTTAGTTTACAGGCAGAAAAATGACAGCACTTCCTAATGAGCAGTAAACAATAAATAGATGTTGTGATGAAGGAGAAGTAGAGGACAGAGGAGCAACAGTTGCATCAAAATTCGTCAAATTTGAAATAATAGTTAACAGGTTGCGTGAGTGAAGGCAACTCCTCCAGTGTTGCATTAATTTGGCTGTCTGTTACACCAGCTCACAACTTAATGATTGCCTCCCAGTGGCATGGACAGTCTGGCCAGTTATATCTCTTAATATCCATGTCATGTAGGCGCTCTGAATACAACTGTTAAAGAGAGGATTGTCTACTTTTTTGCTTTAGATATGACTAAATAAACTTATCATAATATAAGTACCCTGCAGCTATTAGCACTATGAAGTAAAAGTTTTAGTGCCCAAGACATACCAAAGGGAAAGCCAAAATCTCAAGGCACATTTGCTCCATGCAATAAGTGATCCATCGTCCCACTCACAGCTTTCTCCTTTTAATTGTTATTATCCCTCACACTGGCTGCCAATCAGGGCTTTTACAATGATTAAATTGCTTTTTATTTAAATGGAATCTAGTGGGTTTAGCAATTTTACTCTTAAACAAAAACATTTATCTCCATAGGCATCCTTTCCATAATACTGTCAGACACTTACAATAACAGTCTGAGCATGTCAGTGCAAACGTGCCTGAGTGTTTACACTGCAGCCTGGCCACTGCTCCTGCTCAATACTGGACCAGTTTAAAAGAATATTGTTCCCATTAATCACATAAGACACAAAAACATTGGAAAAAAGGATCCAGGTTGAAAAATACCCTTAAAGCATAGATTTTTAAGCTTATTTGTGCAGAGCGCCACACAGCAACTCCTCAGCACTCTCACGAATGCCTTGTTTTTCCTTTCTCTCGCATTCCCACAAATACTGACTGTATCTATTGCAAACTAGCTACATTTCCAACCACAAAAATGGCATCCCAAAATACGAGTGCAGAGGATGATATGGACGAGAATATACTGTCAGTTTTCTGATTGGAGCGTAAAATATTTAAGACGCCTTTCTTACATCTTTTTTTCACAGAGCTGTGTTTAAATCACCTGCCTCCGTGAGCTACCTGGTTTTGGAAGGGTTTTGGGGTTGGGTGTCAAAAGCTCTCATGCAATCTTCCTGGTACATGTGGCCACTGCTGACATGACTTAGTGAGCAGGAGGACTCGCTTCATTCAATTCAATTTATTGCTTCAGTTGACTACATTCACATAAAATGTGGTGAATTTTCCAGGTAATTTTCTAGTGATAAATTGTGATACAACAGTTAAAACCAGTATATTTCCAGTATGTGACACAAGTATGTGGGCATTAAGTGTATATAGACAGTCACAGTGGAAGCTTCAAATAGGTATTATATGAGAAGGAAACTCAATTAAGAACTTGTTTTATCTCCTATTACATCATAAGGTCAACATGATAAACAAGAAAAAGTTAAACAGCAATTAAGATGAAAGAGAAGATAACCGGTACTCTTTAGAAACTCAGTTATTGTTTGTGAAAGCACAAACTTCATGATGAAGTAATTAGTTAGCCTACATTTTTAATTATAGCACAGTTACAGTATCAATCTTTCACCCTCAAATACAAAACTTTCTGTTCAGACCTTCAGAGAAGAAATCGCCCCATTACGTCAGGATGTAAGAATCGTCAATGAGCTTTCTGCAGAGCTGACACCGTTGGACATCCAGCTGTCCTCTACTGCCTCCAGACAACTGGACCAGCTCAACATGAGATGGAAACTACTACAGGTAGTTTAAATCCTCCCGAATCATCTGCAAGATGTTAGAGCAGACACGTTTTCTTTCCTCCACACATATACCCCTTTTCTTGCTTTGTCTCAGGTTCTCTGCCACTTTTCTTCCTGTAGCGTTTTGTCCATGCTTACCTGAATGAATGCTGGCTTCAATATATATCTTGATCGTCTTTCTTCCTGCTCCTTCATTCTCCTTCTGCCTGCCTGTGTGTTTTTATCTCTTAAGTCTGTCTTTGTCTCCCTCTCCCCCAGTTTCTCTCGCCGTGTGCATGCTGATTTCACTTTTTGTCAGCCAAAACACACAGGGGACTGAGAGTTGTCCCTCTACCTGTGTAACTGTTTTATTTGAACGCAGTTCTGTGCTCACTGCAACACTTTGTCATCGCACATCAATGGACACTATTCGCATAAAACACCAGTCACATCCTTGGCTCCCTATGCATCTGAATGTCTTGGTGTGATCCACTGGGGGACTCGCTGAGTGTTTCTCAGAGTGGAGCATGTCTTAGCCCCAGAGGGAAAGTCGTGGAGGAGTCTCTTTAGAAGTCATGAGAAAGAAAAGAGAGGAGAAGTGACGTTGGTTGTGAATTAGGGAGTGAAATCCTCCATGTTAAGTCTGTAGGAGTGTACACTTTAAATGAGCGAGCGTGTGAGTTGTGCCGGTACTTTCAGACATGTTCTCCTTATTAAGCAAGGTCAGTTGTCACTTGTCTCCCATTTGTTTACACTGTATCCTCACCAGGCCTAATTCAAGCACTAGCTTTTATTTTCTTGGGGCCTTTTCCACGAGTCAGAGTAGAATGGAGCATGACATAGATTGGTGGTGCGGCTTCTGCTGCGCCGGACCGTCATGGTGAAGAGGGAGCTGAGCCGGAAGGCGAAGCTTTCGATTTACTGGTCCATTTATGTCCCAACGCTCACCTATGGTCATGAGCTCTGGGTAGTGACTGAAATAATGAGGTCAAAGATACAAGTGGCTGAAATGAGTTTCCTCCGTGGGGTGGCTGGGCTCAGCCTTAGAGATATGGTAAGGCGCTCAGACATCCAGAGGGAGCACGAAGTAGAGCCGCTGCTCCTTCGCATTGAAAGGGGTCAGTGGAGGTGGTTCCGGCATCTGATCAGGATGCCTCCTGGGTGCCTCCCGTTGGAGGCGTCCCACTGGTAGGAGGCCCCGGGGCAGACCCAGAACACGCTGGAGGGATTACGTATCTCATCTGGCCTGGGAACACCTCAGGTTCAGAAGGACCTGGAAAGCATTGCTGGCGAAAAGGATGTCTGGGGTGCTTTTCTTGGCCTGCTGCCCCCACGACGTGGCCCCGGATAAGTGGACAAAGATGAATGGATGGATGGATTCACAGGTTATCTCATCTTTTCTTTTTCTACTATAGGTGTGGACGATTTATCAACTATACTCAATGTTTCACAGCTTATTCCAAAAGGGATGTAGAAAATGACTATATTGCAAACACTGAGTATGAATTTTTTTTCAAGCCACCGAAGCAAACATGACATGTCTCACAACTCCCCCACCCATCCAGACCACTTGCTCCTGGGCGCTAGTGTGTGAACAGGGGAGGCGTGTGATTTTGTATCTGCAGGGCTCCAGACCGCAACCTCTTGTTTATCGGCGCCTCAGTAAAGGCTTAACTTTCTAACTTCTAACAGCCAACTGTTGAACTGGCACTTTAAGTTCACAGCAAAGGCATCAACACTTCTGGCCAAAGACGAGCTGGATGCTTCAAAATAAAAGCACCAATAATTAATTATAAAAGTACTTCTTTAACTTTACTATGACAGTACTTTAACTTAGTACTATCAATATTTTTTTAACTTTATTACAACACTAGTGTATTTCATAGTTTTGTATTTTAGTATTCTACAGTAGATTAGAGATTTCAAAATATCAAGATATATATTGTGTACCGCAATATAGCCTGAAAATATTGCAGTATTCGTTAAAGGTCATATCACCCAGCCCTGTCTCAGTACATGTTTGGTTCATGACAGAGATTGGTGCATAGAAAGGTGATGTCAAGGTATTTTTATCCTTAATGACTGACTCTTTGAGCTTTTGAGATCCTTGACCGAGCTGGCTGGTGATGCCTGTGGTGCCCAGTGGTTGGAGGACTGAATGCAGGTCACACTGTCCAGCTGTGATGGCACCAATTTGAAGAACACCAAGCAGCCACAGATAGCCTTGCAATTTCAAAGACACTGTCATGGAAAGTTTTTATTTTTTTCGACTTCATTTGAAGTTTTTCTTGTATACAACCAAGCGTCGTCATCACTGCAGATAAATGAGTTTGGGGCAGAAAGAAGCAGGAAAGGGAGTTATATGTTGAGAAAAAATGAAATTTTCGAAGGAAACCTAAAGTCATCTCTTTTTAAGTGTGACAGTTCAGCAGAAAGAAACTGGGAAGCTGGACTTAATTTGTAGCCTTGTGATATTTCCCGTGTACTGTACAGACACCCAATAATAGTCTTTCTGCCTGGAGAATGACCATAACTCAGAAACTGAGTCAGACGATGGCAGAGTTTCAGTGGACTGCACACTTCCCTCTGTTGTTTGCTGTTAATTTTTTTTCCAGTCAGCAGGAAGGTGACAGCTTCACTAATAAGCCAGATCTGACTGTGCAGTTTGATGATTTGGTTTTCATATGCAGACGGCTCCCATCTTCCTCTCAGTGGGACTGTGGCCATTATAGCCATTAGTGGCCAGAGAGAAACTGAGCTATTGGCCTTTCTGTGCCTGTTTCCAGGATCCCTGTGTGGACAGCTGTGATCTGGCTGCCATAACGCCTGAGGTGTGTGTGTGCGTGTGCGAGTCTCAATATTACAGGCTGCCAATACTGTCCTGCTAGCCAGCCTGATGGAGTAAAGCAACCCCACAGCCGTGCAGGGCACAGGTGCACTGCCTGAGAGGTCAATACACAGCTTTCATGGGGGTACAGCACTGAATGTGTGTGTGAGAATGATAACTCAAAGCTGTATGAAGCCTCACCGTTTATTGAGTTCACTCCATGTAAAATTGCTACTAGCATTATTTATGAGCAGGATATCTGTTTCTGAAATACTGTTTTATAATAATAAAGGTTATATGGAGTATATAAGGAAAAGAAATCGGCGGTGTCTTTGCACAGGTTGCTGTGGAGTCTTGTCCTGGTTTTCATCATTTCCAGGATATTACATACACCACGAGACATCTGATATTATTAAGGTTTCTGATCCGTGTGTCATACCAACATGTTTTGTACCACTGTATATCTCAATATGTATGTATGAGGACAAAATCTACATCACCCACTCCTAACTTGGGTACATAGCCATTATTTACCCATGGGGACTTATCATGCTGAAAACAGGATATTATGTTCAAACACATAACTTGATCAATACAGGGTATCTACACCAGACTGATCTGCACCATCTCACACACAATACTGACAGAAAATATTGGTCTTAGTTTTCATCAATACAGCTGTCTACACCAGCAACTTAATGGCTCCTAACTGTGACCCAGAGCATATTCATATTTATTTTTTTGTGTGTTATAGGAATACTTCATCCACAAAATGATTATTTCTGTGTTACTCATCCCATGTTATCTTGAATTCATGAGAAAACAGGTGCGTTACTTGTCCATGTGTGAGACATTTTATATAAAAGTGTTTTAAATTGTAAGGTTTACATGTGTTGAGGGAGTACTGCACATACAACTGGATAAGTATTAGCATTATATCTGAAAAGTCAATAAATAGTGTTAAATTGGAATTAGTGGAGTCTTAATTGCGACAGACCTTTTATCTAATTTTTATTTATCCATCTTTTGATATCTTTTTGTTGCCAAGATGAGTCAAGTTTCTCTGCGTGAAAGTATTCATTTCTGAAATTACAAATCTTAAAGGCTGTGTGTCGAAGCACATAGAGAGACAGGACAGGGCCACTGGTCTATGTGGGTTTATGAAAGGAAACATATATTAGTATATTTACAGTATATGAACATATTTCTCTTCATTGTTGTTGCTCAGCACTTGTACATGTAATTGTGACAGCGTGTCTTCATGGTATTTAGCCCCTCCTCCACTCCTTTGTACAGCTGGGTAAAAGTGACGCTGAAAAACGAAGTGTTTTACTCACAGTTGAGCATTTTCGTTTTTTATTTAAGATTTTCCGGCGCTATTTTTTTGCCTTTATTTGATAGGACAGTTATTGCATGATAGGGGTAGGGAGAGTGGGCATGACATGCAGCAAAGGTGAGCTAATGGTCGTCCCAAAATTTGATTTTCAACTCTTGCCGCACAGAAAGTAAAATGTGCAGCTGTCAGGGCAGAGTAGATGCTCAGCACCTCATCATGCTGCTGCTGTCTGTAATGTAGTGTAAATACACGGCACTCTCATTGCAAAGAATAAAGTATACGCTAGCCTCAGGAAAAACTGCTTCTGTGAATAAGGGGTCTAATATTCTCTCTTTACTTTTAGTTACATTTACCTGTTGGCAAAATGTAGATTAACTCACTTGAATAATCATATTCTTAAGGAAAACCTACCTCTGCACAGGACTATACAGTATAGGCTACTAACCTCTGTATTTATCTGCTTTACTTAAGAAAAAGGTGACTTGTCCAAACATTAGTCCTAATCTGGTTAAAAAATGATCTATATCTTGATATCTATATATATTCAGTATTTGATGCAGTATATATTTATACCTATAAGAGAAAAAAGTTTCTTGAGTTTGGGGTTTTAACTCCACTTCCAACTTAATTGCACTGGAATTGAATTCACTCCAACCATGACGCCAACTCCAGCCACTGTAAAAAGCTCTGTTTCTCTGAGTACAACTGTCAGGCCCACAGCTAACTGTCTTATTTCCTGTCTGTTTGTCTGTCTGTCTGTGTGGTCATCGTGCAGGTGGCAGTGGAGGACAGACTGAAGCTGCTTCAGGAAGCCCACCGAGACTTCGGCCCCTCCTCCCAACATTTCCTCTCCAGTAAGTACGGCGCCAATTACCTCTCCAGGGGAATTAGAAACATTTGGGGGGGCTTGGGTTGTTTCCACTCAGTTACACTGTTTCACATCCCCCCTAATTTTTTCATGTCCCATCTTCTAATCTTCAGCCATACGCTTCACAGTCACGCATCCTCACTGGATATGTGGGTGCTCACACACACACAAGCGCAGTTTGCAGACGAGGCACTTCACTCTTGAATAATGCAAGGCTTAATTACAGCTCTCCACTGGCTCCCTTCCTCTTTCTCCCTCTTTTGAGTGGTCATTAGCAGAGAGAGAGGAACAGAGAGAGTTGGAGACAAAGCAACAGAGAGAAAAGATAAATGCACAAGTGCGAACATTAAACAAAGCAGCCAGTCTCTCTCTCCCTGTGTCTCTCTCTAATGTCATTTTCTATAATCATACGGCCATTAGTGTTCTTTCTGCTCCACCTGATTTGCTTTGCCGGCTGTCAGATACAGAGACAAAATGGACGGTGTGTGATTCAGAGCAGGTGGTAAGCTCGGCCTGCCGTGCTGTGTCACCAACAGACATGAATTTAAGCCCTGCTGAGAGCTCAGCAACTGCACCAGACAAAACAGCACTCCGTCTCTTCTTTCATCTTCCTGGCACTATGACACTATCTACTCCATCACACATTCGCTCTCATTACACTAGTAGCTTAATATTCCCTCAGGGATCAATAAAGTACCGCGTCCTTATCTTGCCCTATCCATCTCGTATATCTCCCAATCTCGCTTAATCTCTTTCTCTTACTGTCTTTTCATCTCTCTATCTGAGCGTAGAGCTGTGTCAAGGAGGAGGAAAAGTGGGAGGGCGATAAATCACGCAACATTTCTGCTCCGTATTGCTCTTGAGAGCTTCTCAAGTGTTATATCTGGCTGGTTTTAACAATGAATCAGAGTGTCATTTTAAAGATGTCCTTGCTCTGTCAGTATTTATTGTTGCCTTTGTATCCACAAAGTTTAATGTAAACCTGGACATGTGGCACCTTTTTCTCAACAGTTTTTTAAAATGTATTTTTCCTTTCATGCCCTATTGTCTCCCTCTTCCCTCTCCTTCTGCCAAGAAAGCAATATCCATTTACATTTTTTTCCTCTCTCAATTTCATGCACAGTAAGAGTCTTTTTATTTTTACATAGATAGACTATGTTATTATGGAAGTGTAAGATGTGAGAATTATTTCAAGTCAAGCCCCAAACACTAAATGAATTACTGTAATGCACGGTACAATTGTGCAATGTTTATTAGGATGGTGTTTCGATTTTTATTGCTTGACTTTTTGTCTTTCTCCGCATTTCTCATTTTTCTTTATCTTTGTCTTTGTCTCTCTCTCTACAGCATCTGTACAGCTCCCCTGGCAACGTGCAGTCTCTCAGAATAAGGTTCCATATTACATCAAGTAAGTGGCGAGAAAGGGCTTCGATAGCCATCCTTGTGTCTGTATAAATTGTATGTGTGTGTGTATGTGTGTGTTAGCGTCTGTCAATCGTTATTTTACAATGGTTGGCTTTGAAGGCAGTCATTCAGTTAGTAAACATGTTCTTACTTTTTTTATGTATTCTTTTTCATCTCCCTTATTAGAAGTTTCCAATTTATTTTGTGTGTGTGCCCCTTAACACAGTGCATTGTCTGTCTGTCATCACAGGGTGCACGTCTGTGAGTTGTGAGCACTTGAATTGAAAAATGATTTTCTTGTCTCAGACAATTTTATTTGGTAATTTTTAGAGGTCAAACTGCAAAGCATTTTTCAATAAAGTAAAGGTTGGAGAAGAAAAATGAAAAAGTATAAACAGACTTTTGTGTAGCAGAGTTTAATCTGTTTTGTATTCCCTACCCCAGCGATCATCTTCCAACCCCTTACGTCAGCCCTACACCATAATGACTTTTCAAGTGGTATCACTGTCGCAGACTCATTTCCAGTGTCGACATGAAATCGTGTTTTGTCAGTGTTGTGGTGTGCTCCCATGATCCTGATCGTTTGGTGTAGGGTGCTCATAAAACTCAGTCCAAGCTGTATTAAGTCAGTCTTTTTCTCATCTCAACGTTTCAACAAAATCAAACGTGTTTACTATTATCATAAGTTTTTAGCCTTGTCTCATGCGAATAGTGAAGTTTAATGACCCGAACATTGTCAAAAACCAATAACTGCGCTCTGTCCAGCAGCAACCTGGGTAGACAGTAAACATTAGGGGACTCTGGGGAGGCGGAGAGCGTGAACAAGTGTCGTTTCTCTTGGACTGTGGAAAAGGAGGAGAAACTGGTGGAGTTGTGGAGTGAACAAGAGCTAGTTTTTAATTTGCAGTGTAGCTTATCCACCAACTTGCACTTATTTTAGTGAGAAATCCTAATTTTGGAAATGGTTCACTTCTAATTCCCACGGCCTCCTCCCACTAAAACAGCACAGCAAACCAACAGAGGCTGGTGGCAAGTTGAGGCGACAAAATCCAAAATGTAAAGTTTATACACAAATCTTCATAGATTATATTGTTGCCAAATTTACAACAATACTGTAGACACGATCCCTTTCATCTTCTATTTCTATAGTTTTGTGTGTTTACCAAATAAGGAATTGATAATATGTCTTATCTCTTAAAGAGAGTAAGGCACAATTTTTTCCAACAGGAGCAGGATGGGAAATAATCTCAAAAGGAATGTAGTTGTTTTCTTGCACAAAGTGACCTTGAAACATCCCCAGTCTTTGCAAAATCTTATAGTGTGTGATTTAAAACTCATATTGTCAGTGAAAGAATGTATTTTCAAAGTGTTTTCAAAGTTTTCTAGTGTGTGGTAGGCATTAGATTTCGTGGCCGCTGTTGGGGTTTTGAACCCCAGGTTTTAGATTTTCAGCTGCTTTTCTTTCTTACGATGGACACAAATGTGGGCAGAATGATGCAGATGATTTTTTTTTCATTTGACATTTCAAAAATATTCATAGTTGACTGTGAAATAGCCCATTATCTCCACCATCATTCCACAGGGGATCTAATACTTTTTAACCTTTTTACATTAAAGCTCTAACCTGTCGTGATCTCTCACATACATAGCCCACGAATGGTCAAGTAGCTATTGTTCAAGTATATTCTTCGCACGTATATAATTTATTTCACTCCCAATTAGGAGCTTCTTTCTGTCCATTTGCTCCTGTGTGCATATTAAAATTCAAGCTGTTTCACCTGCACATTTCTCATTCAGTCCAACATTAGCACCTCCTTTTGAATAGATAATACCTGTCTGAATCCCAGGGCAGCTTCCGACACTGTTTTAATAGTGATTATAACAACTCTAGCTTGACGTCTGGCTTCCCATTCTTACTGTGTTTTTTTGCCAAACCAGGACCAAACAGCAGGTTTCTATTAAAACAGGCAGAGAGGAGATCTGTGTCAGTGGCAAACAAGACAGCTTCTCTACTGTTCAGGAAGTGTCAGGTCTGAAAGTTTGAAGGACCTCATTATCCAGAAATCATGTAACCGTATGTCAGTAAACTGCTGACTTATAAAACCTGAATTCACCCTTATTTCAGAAAAATCTTCGGGTAGCAGTTTCAGCTATCATTTGTCAGTCCCACTTTCTTAGTTTCTCTCGCACGTTTCTGTTGGGACACTGTCACAGGCTCACTTTTTGATTTAGGATGATAAAATGAGTGCAACTTTCAGGGCTGCCCCCTTAAATCGCCTTGTGCCCCGAGTGGAAATGTCACCCTCTCAGTTAAATTGTCAACTAGTCATTTTTTAAAAATCCCCCTTGTGCCATTGTCCGCAGAACAACCTGCAATAAAAGCTTCAGCCACAAAGATTTACAGGTCTTGTATTGTCTTGTGATCGTTTAAATGCCTCCAAAAAGTTCTGATGCAACATTTGTAGAAACTTTAAAGGAATACTTCACCCACAGAATAACCATTTGTCTATCAATTACTCGAATTGTGTTGAATTCATAAACTCACATCCTTTTATGATAAACGAAGAATCCAAATGCATTTTTTACTGAAACCGTGCTATTCGAAACACTTCAGTAAAAACAGTCTCATGTATGGACAAGTTGTACACCAGGGCAAAGAGTGTACGTTTGAACTTTGCTCAATGTAATGCATGGGCAGATCAATCACACAAGTATGACCATATGTGTTACTCACATGTGAAAGTGTGTTATAGTGAAAATGCATGTGTTTGAGAAGTACTGAACATATATTCTCTATATACAGACTCTACATTCAGTGAATCTTGCCTCAGGAAGAAGAGCGGAAGAGCCCTGGTTTCCGGTTGTAGGCTGTTTGTAGTCCGTGTGATATTGACCAACTACGTTTGAGCCAGCTGCAGTTGTTGCCAGGTTAAACAATCCGTGCAATGAACTAACGAGGCGGAACATAAATGGCATCACTGCAAACTCTGAATCCATCGCAATGGTTCAGCATATTTACATATATATAAACGGAAACGGAAACGGAAATTCACCTCCTCCGCCCAAATCAAACTGAAATGCCAAAAAATCGGGGGTCTGCCCCCAGAGACTGTATCGCCGTCTGCCGGAAGTCAGACGCCGAACACAGCCGATGGGCTCCAAGAATGCTCAACATATGACTGGATAAATGAGACTTGGATTGTACTGCACAAGTCCTATGAGAGTTTGTAAACAGGCTTTGATTTAGTGTTTCTGTTGTTTATCCTGGTCCCCTTTTACTCCAATTCATTGTCAGTTCATGCACATTTGGGACTGTTTTTGAATACTCTTGCTTGGTGGTGCATTTAAGTGCTTCTGGAAAGCTAGTAAAAACATTCATCAATCATAAAACCCGCAATTTCAACCAGTTGATTCAGTTTATTGAGTCATATTGGAAAAAGTATATTGTGTTAATTTGTGAAGAGGTCAAGATAAAACGTTTTCAGACAGACAATAAAGACAGACAGAGATGGAGGGAAAAAAAAGGATCTAGACAAGGAAGGGGGGGGGGGGGGGGGGAACCCGGGGGGGTTGGGGGGGGGGGGGGGGGGGGGGGGGGGGGGGGGGGGGGGGGGGGATACACCTGTGCTGTTTGGGCTTGCAGCTTGGCACTAGAGGGGGATCAGAGATGAAAGCCAGAGACAGGCAATGACTCAGAGGACAGGCTTATAACTTTAGAGTCAACAACAGCCTGTGATCACAGATGTGCCCAGCCATTGAACCAGCATCCGCCCACTCGCACAAACAAAACACATGTGCACAAGGGCATCCACACAAAACAGTAGCCACACATGCAAACTCACAAATAGAGATGCACATCCTCTCCTTGGCAGGGACACGCTTAAACAGACCCAAAGATGCATATGAACTCCAACTGGAACCAAGCTCCAACTCGCTAACCAAACACACACCATTCTGAGCACACACCATATGTTCTGTTGATGCCTCCAGGTTGGTTGGACCTGGTTTTTCTTCTCAGTGGCAGTTTCCACATTAACTTTAAATTGCCTTTCAGAAACAGGAAGAAAGGAATCAATCCCCCTTCAACTTTTACCTCAGTGTGTGGCTTTTCTTTCATATTAAAATGAAGATCGTCTGCTGTGCTGTGCACTCCCCTCTCAGTTCCTCCCTCACACAGAAATATACATGCAGGCTGGTGCACGCTCATGCAAACCCACTTAATTTGCAGCTCGAAAACTGAACTCTAAATCCATCTCCAGGACTAATCACAGGTCGCTTTCAGTGCTGTGACATCCTCGGGACACCCGCGTCAGTCTCTGACACATTCATTTCCCCAAACCCCTCCTCGTCTCCTCTTCCATCTCCTCTCATACCCTGCCTCTTTTCTTTGGGCTGACAAAGGCCCCCTGATTAAAACCGCGCCTTGTCCACCCCCTGTAGGGATGAGTTCAGGCGACATATTGGGGGGAAAATCAAATGGCTTCACACAAGTTCTGTGCCATCTCATGCTGGCAACTTCACATGCTGTCCCATTTCACCCGTTCTGGCACTTGTGGGGTGAGCTCATACGCCTTTTTGAGAGGAAATACAGCAAGACTGCATCTCTGCAAAGATTAGAGAAAGTCTCCTCTACATTCCGAGGCTTTACTGGACGTGCTGTCTGTCCGTGTTTTTGTCAGGAAACATTTTGTGGGGTTGGTTGGACCAAACAGAACAGACAGCCTTTATACACTTGAGTGGACTTTATGCATCCCCTTCTGAGGGTGTCTCTGAAAGTTAATTTTAAGAAGAATCCAAAGCTGTGTGAACTCTTTTTCAAAAGCAGTATACAGATAACTTTCAGACAGACGGAAGGGGTTAATTTTTTAAGAGGGGAAAAAAAGAGACAGAGAGGTTAAAGGCAGAGAACGACAGAAGATGTCAGCTGGTGAATGCAGGCTCTTCTCACCTGTCACAGACACTTCGTGATACGCCTGGCAGGTCGCTGTCACTGAAATAAAAAAGGGTTCCTGAAACCTTCCTCTTGCTTGCTCAGATATTTGGCTAATTCTGTCTCCTTGGATATTCAGATCTGCAAGTCATCATTCATCTCCATACTCATGATTATTTATGATGCTCTCTCAGTCCGTGACAGTGACAAACTCCAGACACACAGCAGAAGTGTTTGCAGCCAACGATTTGATGGGATCCGTCCACCCCTCAGCCCGTGGGGCGTTGACATTTTCTGATTTTTCACTGTCCTTTTGTTCGAAAGAACGAAAAACCCCAGACATAGTCACTAGCTTTGGGGAAAATTGTGGTTATGGTTAATTATGGAGCAGCACATAAGAAGTGAGCAATTAGCAAAACCACTTTAACTTTCCGTTGGACTCTGTAGCAGCCCTAATGTCAAAGGAAATAGCAATTATTTTTGATAAGCCTAATTGTTATTGTGGTAATCCGAGTGCGTGCTTGTGTTGGATGTTTTCAGCTCCCAACTTTGTTTGCTTGACAGGGAGAAATCTCATAAAAACATTTTGTAGGAGGTCATTTTTTTACCCCTCACTTTACCCCAGTGGCTACATAAATTCTACCCTTCCTCCGCTTGCTGCAGTGTCCTCTTCTGTGACCTCATTCAATTTGTTGATGCTCACTCCGAGGTGTCATTTGATGATGTCTGTGAAGCCAAATGTCACATGCAGTGCACAAGACCCAGGCGGCTTCATCCTCAGAAGACATCGCTCACAGTTAACCACCTTCTGAAAATTTGGAAAACCACCATTTCTGGTTATTTTCAGTTGCTTGACTAGTTAAATAATTGTTTGAATGCAACATATGTCCCTTTACTGAGGAGGCTTTAAAAGGTGCTCTAATGCCTAACCTTGTTGGTTCATTTCTAATTAGCTCGTTTTGGCTGTTGATAGAACTTGTGGTATCTTTGTCATTTTATTCATTTATTTAACCCTTATTTAACCAGGAAGTCCCACTGAGACTGAAAGGCCAATCAAAACACAAAAAAAAAATGCAAACAAACACAACATATGATACAAAAGTCCACAATAAAACAACAACTATTCAACCATAGTGGCCTCTCAAGAAAAACAAGCACATCTCTGTCACCACATTTATTTATGATGCTGATAAATTCATGTACAGATACACGTACAGTTGTACAGATATGCAATAATGATTTTATGTACAGTATGTTGATGTTGTCCAATGTCAAGTCTCTATTTGATCATGTGAAGAGACCATACGATGTACGATAGCTAGATTAGGCTCAACCACCTTATGCCACTGCCACAAGTGATCTGTGCAAGTAATGTTTGTAGTAGACGTGTATATTATATAAATCCATGTGGATGCAAGCGTGCAGCTCTTGGTTTGTTTGTTTAATACAAACCAAATTAGTGGTGTGATAGCAACCGTAGATTGAGAAGACCTCACAGTGGGGTTGCGGTTCACCGAGGATGTACTGCTGTTGTTATCTCCGAGAAGCTTTCAAATATCCGCCAGAAAATCTGTTTTTGTCCCATGCCTTTTAATATTCTCTGATGCCGCTCCTCTCGCCCATGAATGTTTCCCGCTGCGTTATCTAAACTGTAGCAGCTTTGTAGTAAATGTGCCAACAGTTTGCTATTTTCTCCTCCTACATACAGGACAACAAAAAGATTGCTTAGACATTACAAAGGAAATGCATTGACGGGAAAGCGTTGAGTACAGTTGAACCTGACAACTCAGCCATCCTCATTATGGCATTCATGAGTTGTGGATATAAGCACAAGCTTTCTAATCTTTTTGTTGATGGAAGGTGTGTATGTGTGCGTGCGTGTAAATACGATACAGATTTTTGTTTGTAGTAAGTTGATTGTGTGTCCCATCATTGCACCGTCTTTATCTCGTCTCTGATGTACCCTTCTACAATTCAGTGACAAAAATGTTTTATGGTGATAGAGACCGGCCAATTGTGGCCTGGATCACCAACATTCCCCCCCCCCAGTTGTGTGTTTGTGTGCAGCAAATATCAGTGAATCCCCCGACATGGATTTATTGGAGCCCTTTGTCATTCAGGCAAGCTCCTTGAAAAGTAAAACACGAGCCTGTCTACAGCACCGCAAGGCCCCGGCATTAGCGATGTCTGTGCAGGTGTGAAAGGGGTCATCGGTCTGTACAGCCGTTGAATAGTGATGAACATCTGCGTGCGAGGAGGGCTCCTGTCGTCCACTTCACCACCTCAGTTCACTGTCAGCACTCCACTTCACTTCCTGCTGGCTGTCAGCGGAGAGCGAGCCATCGCAGAAACCACAAGGGAGTGTCTGCATTCAAAAACAGACTTCTATTTAAAGAAAAAAAAAAGTCTTCCAGAGATCTTTTCAAACATTCCTCACAGATCTGAGTGCGGCCTCTGACAGCCAGATGCCTTGCTGAAATACACACACACACACACACACACAGCCACATCATGGCCACAGCACTGATTGGCAGCCGCAACTTGCGGAAAGTCAGATTCTTTGCTTTCCTGTGTGTGAAGGCAACCATGTTTGATCAGTTATAGTGCAGTCGTATTTTATTTATTTTTATAGCATCAGTTTTGTAGTAGTTTTTGGTTTGTTCATGTTGTTTTGTTTGTGTGCATGTGTGTGTATGTGTGAGGCTTCTGTCTGAGGCAGAAATGTAAATAGTGAGTTGAGACTCGGTCCCCTCATATTTATGTCCCATGGTGTTTGAAAAGACAGATGCTCTGGTGATGAGAGAAATTCACAGTTCGTGTGTGTAGGTGTGTGTGTGTTTTCTTGCAGTTTCATTCAGACAGATTTTTTGGTTTTGTGTGTGTGAGTCATGCTTTGTGGATTTGTGAAGGAATCTGTGACCTCTGTCCTCAAATTGCATGCGATAACAAAAGAATCGGCAATAAAGCCATCGACAGTGTTTATACACACCAAGCCACAATGATAATAAGGATGTTAGCTTGTGTTTATTTGGCCAGGTTTTTGTGTTGTGCTATCTTTGTGTATGTTTTTGTGCTCCTTAGCTTTAGAAGTAGTTTTGTCTGACATTTTCTTTTGTGATAAGCCTTGAAAGTGGTTGTGAGTATCTGTGTGTTTGTTTTGACTTTAGGGGCTCCTGTTCTGCGCTGTGTGTCAGCTTATGTGTTTTTTTGGTGTGTTTTCTCAGTCTAATGGTTCTCTCCTCTGTTGTTGTGGTTTTCAGTCATCAGACACAGACAACCTGCTGGGACCATCCAAAGATGACAGAGCTCTACCAGTCACTAGGTAAGAAGCACACACTCACAATCACTTGTTGTCTTCAGGTCCTGAAATAATCTTGATAGACCAAAAACCTTGTCAAAGGGGCAGGTTATGTCATTACAGAAAACACATTTTCTCAGTTATCTCTGTTGATATGAGACCAATCAGATGGTTTGGGTTTCATTTGGCCATTTTATAAGGTACAGAGTGGTGCAGGAATGAGTCCTAAAACCAGAAAATGAATCAGCATGTTTGCACTTCTGGTTCCCTCATCTTAAAATGATGTCTGTGGATAACACAAGCTTCAAAGATTTTCATGTTTTGTTCTATGACATAAAATGAGGTTGCTAACAAGTTGTTAAATTGGATATTAAACTTCATTACGCTGAACAAGTTTAGTGATGGTGATGCTGAAGCCATGTAAGCGTGGTGTAGTGTGTTTATGGAGAAATGTTAGCCTTTTCACATCTGGCAATTTCATTTAGGTTTCAGAAATCATAAAACGTTATGCTCATTTGTGAAGGCTGTCTTGTGTTCTTTTTTTGTCACAGAGCTTCTTTTTTTTTTTTTTTTTTTTTTTTTTTTTTTTTTTTTTTTTTTTTTTTTTTTTTTGTTGTTTTTTTTTGCAATAATCTAAAACCCAATTAACCCAACCCATTAACCTAACCCAACTTCAGACGTCCCTGCACCACTCTGATGCACATACTGTCCCTGAGATTTCCTCCATTACCAGACGTTGGATTTGATTTTCATTTTAAGTTGTGGTGCTTCAAGTATAAACATATGTCATTTAACAAAATCAGTAGCAGCCATTCTGTTCAGAAATTATGTTCCTGTCAATCTGGAAAATCCACAGAATTCGCTATGAGCAGTTTTATACAAGGTTCCCCTCGATCATTGAACTCTTGGAAAAGTTATAAAATCAGAAAAACTGTTTTCATGACTTGGAAGTGGTTTTAAATTAACATAATGTTTTGGAAAAGTTTTGATTATACATTTTGGCTGTCATTTAAAAAAGTGTGATTATAAAAATCCTAAAACATGTCTAACGTTATGTAAAATATGTTCCTTGTATTAATAACTTAAAATCTAGTGCCAAGCTGTGTCTTTAAAAATGACACTTGTATCACGTGATACACATTGATGTATGCACCTAGTTGCGGGAATGTCTAACGAGTGAGTAAAGTTAGCAAGTGCCAACAGTAAAGTTGTCCGAAAATGCAGAGGAAAATGCGAGTTTCATAAAGTACGGCTGTAGACCTTACCCACGCTGGATGTAGGCTCTGCACCCAAACCTTTGATGATAGCAGCATGGGGGAAGCAACTCTTGTCAGGCATGCTAAAAAGAAAAAGCATCAAGACAGCCAAAAGGCCACTGAACAGACTGCCAGAGTCAGCACATATTTCAAGCCTGCCGTAGCCAGGCCAGAAACGTTAGGACTTTGTGTGTACCGTTTGTGTATACTGAGAGGCATTTCATCCCTCATTCCATGCTACATTTTTGCCATAGTGCCTGTCACAGGGCACAGCACACTGGAGTTAGTGCCTCACTGTTGTGCCCTATGATTTATAAAATAGGCCTATAGAAAGTCATGGAAATGGGGTAAATATTGTGGAAAAGGTTTGAAAATTGATTGGTAAACATTAATGGGAACCCTGTTTAGGGCATCTCTTCAGTAAAAAGTTCACTGAAAAGTTTTCACGCTGTATTCTCAGTTTCCTTGTGAGGGATCGACAAAATCCTGTAGGCCCATTTCTCTCTCTCGTTAGTTTACTCTTTAACGTGATAAAAACTGCACCTTGATCTTTTCGCTCTCACTCTGCTGCTCCCTGTTAATATCCACATGCATGTGTCTGTCCCAGCGGGGTGGCTAGTATGACCGTTCTTTAATGAGCAGCCGGATAAGTAATAAGCTGTGAAACTTTGGGAGCGTTTGCTGTAGGCCAGCAGCTCAACAAATAGCACCGGCCCCCACTGAGACCGAACTCACTAACCTAATTACACAGTCCACATTAGCCACCCCTCCCCTCGGTCATCTCTACAGACAATAACTAACAAAAAGGCGGCTTTTCATTGAAGACAGAGGTCCTGCTTACGTTGCCCAGTAGCCAGATTTCTCTTGCACTTTGTTTTCTGATTTTCTGCCTCTGTGTTCTTTTCGTCCGTCTACCTTTCATCCCTCTGTCTCTATCCCCGCCTGTAGCGGACTTAAACAATGTGAGATTCTCAGCATACCGAACAGCCATGAAGATCCGCAGACTACAGAAGGCACTGTGCTGTAAGTAAGACACACACACACACACACTCATACACACCTTAATACCTACCTACAGTCGTGGTCTGCTTCTTTTGAAGTCTAGGTGCAACGAGGGGATGCAGTAATGATTTGAAGCTTTGCCAGATGCTGTGCCAGAAACTGCGCAGGAGCCAAGGATATTTTGGCTTTAAAATTACACACACTGTGTCGATGTGTGTGTTTGTATGTGTGCACATGATTTCGACCATGCACAGTCACAGCTGGTGATTGTGTTAAGCCTGTTGAGCATAGCCTCATTTGCTGTGCACAGGTGGGATATTTTTTTTTTTTTTTACGCAGCGCTTTTTAAAAAATTTTGTCAACGCGAGAGCTGCTGTTTTGTCGTTTATAATGGAAGCTTTGATAAAAGGCGGCTATTACCTACAGTCTCAGGTGGCTATCAGCCCCATCTACACACACACGCTCACACACACACACACACTGCAGGTGCATGCAGACTCCCCCCCTTTGTGCGGTTTCAACCAGCATGGCAGCTGTGCTCACTACAGTGTAATAATGGTGACAAATGTTAACTATTATCCAGCTGTTGACATTATTATAGCAACACACACTGCGAGCCCACACTGCTCATTTACATCCCGCTGTTTGTAGGAAGTTTTCTCTGTGTGCATGTTTGGAACAAACAGACAAAGTATATACTGTGCCTCATGTAGGTGTGTGTGTGTGTGTGTGTGTGTGTGGCATGGGCCTGTGGACCTGAATAATCGTGGGTATCAAAGTGTGTTATTGTGTTGGTTGGTTGTTAATGAGTTTGAATGATTCAGGCGTTTTAGTTTGCTATCTCATATTGGCTCTCTGATCGCATGCGTGTGTTTGTGATGGGAATGCATTAGCCTGAGTGGTTTCGACTTGGGGCACTGCAATTCAATTTCATCCATTAGATTAGAACAGTCACTGCGCAAAACACACGCATACAAACACACACACACACAGCGCAGAAGGATCAGTAGTTATTAGCCTGGATTCATGTGAAATCGTTGCTTGGAGACCTGTGTATGTGCCTGTATCAGTGTTTTGTAAATGTGTGGTAGTGAATGGCACATACACACACACACACACACACACACACACACGACGGTGATACTATGAAACGTCTAATTGGGTTAAGTCTATGCCACGGGGCCGGCGAAGCACAAATGAGCCAGCATGGCATCCAGCTAATGTGCCACAGCCTTTCATATCTTGTAGCTTCGTATCTGCGTGTGAAGTGAGAAAGCTAGAGAGAAGTAAAGTTTTGCCTCCTGACAGCGTGGTTGCCCTGCTGTGCCCGCTCCACGTGGATACGCCCCAGTAATTAGTGCTGTCTGGGGAAAAGGGGGCAACATAAGGCGAGGAGCCACAGAGGTGTTGACAAGGAGCACGCATCGGGGCAAATGAGGAGACTTAAGTGAGGAGAAGAGGTGAACGAGATGAGAGCTGCAGGAGAGGGAGTTCAAATGGTTTGTGGAGAAGGGTCAGAGGGAGAGATGAGCGGAGCAATAGAGGGTTGCCTCATGAAAACCTCTGTGCATTGTTTCACTCTGTATTATATCAGTAAAAAGTCTCTGAACCTTTTAGTATCTGTTGGATGGAAGTACAGTATGGAGATGTATATAAAGAGTAGGTCTAATTAAGTTGAGAATGGTTTGTAACATTTATTTAATTAATGCTCTATATCCATGTTAATTAACCACCTATAGCAAACAGCACACTGTGTATTTATATCATATAGATCACAGATCACATAACAGAGATTGGGTTAACTGGTTAACCTTTTCAGTGGACCTTGAATAAGCGCTAATTAAGAATCCCATCAGGATCTGAGCTTTCCCTTAAAGGGACAGTTCATCCCAACATCAAAAATACATATTTTCCTCTTTCTTGTCGGGCTGTTTATCAGTCTAGATTATTTTGGTGTGAGCTGCTGAGTGTTGGAGTTATTGGCCGGAAAGTTGTCTGCCTTCTCTCCAATATAATGGAACTAGATGGCACTCAGCTTGTGGTGCTCTAAATGCCCAACACATACATTTAATAAACTCAGCAACGTCTTTTTCCAGAAATCACAACCCGATCACTCAAGATAATCCACAGACCTCGTTCAATTCTATTGGACTGGTGCGGAGTCGCAGGCTTTAAACGCTGTGGGGGTGTGAACCCTTACAGAGTTGCTGAGGTCACATGTGAGCTCTGAGATTCAGAGTCGTTAAGGTCACATGAGTTGCTGACCCACCCAGCCATCATCTGTGTCATTAGGGTTAGATAGGTCTAAGTGTGAATGGGTGTTAAGTTGTCAGAGGGATCCCAAGACTGTATTGTAGGTCGGTGATAAGTGGTGTTGTAGGCAACCTCCTCTGTTAAACAGTGTACCACACTAGGTACTAATTCCACACATGTTTTGAGTCAGCAGTTTATTTACTGCATAAAACAATCATCTTAAAGGAATATTTAAACATTTTTGGAAATTAAGATGTAATTGCCTTCTTGCCAACACAACCAAATTAGACATAATGTGTTAATTAATGACCCAGAGGAGGATTTCTTGCCTTTGGACAAAAGCCAGGCTAGCTTTTCCCCCAGTTCCCAGTCTTTGTGCTAAGCTAACCAACTGCAAGGTGCAGTCCCATATTAAACAGACAGATATGAGAGTGGTATTGATTTTTACATCTAACTCAGCAAGAAAGTGAATAAGCACATTTGCCAAAGTGCCAATCTCTTCCTTAAACTAATTTTGTCTCATCACTCTGGGGAGTGTCATTATCTCGATACAACAGAAAAAAGCAGAACAACGCACTAGAATAGAGCACTTGATCTGTGTCCCAGATCCATACATATTCTTTTACAGTATGTACTACATGCTGTAAGATACTGCACAGTATTACATTAGCAACTGTGCGTTACAATGTGGGAGGGTGACATACATCAGAATCGAACTTAGTTCATGCTGCCTGCTTTGAGAACACTTTATATATTTTCACAGTTTTCTAGTGTGAACACAAGACATGCTCAAAACCACCTCGGAATCAGCATGTAGTAAGAAATTGGTAACACAGCAACTATTCCAGACCTTTCTTGATGCACTTTATCATATGAAACAGGTGAAGTAATCTCATCCCACTGAAAGATTTGTTGCCTACTCTAAGAAGATAATACTCAGTGATGAACAAAATAACTTGTGAAGATGGAGAGTTCTTGATGTGCTGTGCAAACACTAAAAATAAGTAGGGTGAAAAGTGTGCACATCCAAAAAACTTTTACAGGTGCTGGATCAAAAAGTGTAAATCCGACGAGAGATCTGCACAGTCTATTCAAAGCTCCCAGCAATTTTAATTATGCAACGTTTCTAACAGAAAGCTTACTGATGCAAGCACTAAAAATACCAACATATTTCAATTGGACTGTGTGTGTGTGTGTGTGTGTGTGAATGGCAGTATCCAGTCCACACAACAGCTGCTGAAAGTGTGTTGTATTTGATCAAATTGTCAATTACTTTGTTTGCCTTGGTGTGTTTTTGTGTGTTTGTGCATCTGGCTACTTTGATTGTGTTGCCCCAAAAGCCTCGATTAGCCAGTTTTGTCTTTTTTTCTACTCTTACTTTAAAGATACATAAGTGATAGCTACAATATAGAGAAGGCTATGGAAGTATAATTGAGACATTGGTAAAATATGATCTCTTTCTTCTTTGTCATTGAAAATGTAGCCAACAAATTAAATTAGAAGAAACTAGACTGCTCTCTGTCTGACATTTTCTCCTCATTTGTCTTTTTCTGTTCAGATTTCTCTCTCATATTAATATTTCAGCACAATGATCCATCTGTTCTCTTTCTGTAGTCCCAGCAGACTTTCTCAGTTAGTTGTTTTGAACTATTTTGGACAAAATATCAGTCAAGTCTGCAGTTTTTAAGTGCCTCTATGAATAGTCTGTGCCATTTTCAACTCCTCATCCTGTTGAGATTTGGCATTTTTAGAAAAATCTGAGCCACCACCAAAAGCCCATTGAGCAAGTCAGAAGGTTACTAATGGCTCTAATTCGCCCTTTTATTTCTTTTCGTCCCCTGCCACCCCCGTTTTTTCAAAAAAAAAAACTTTTTTCTTTGTTGCCGCTCTCTGCTCTTGTTAACCTTCTTCAACTCTCCTCTGTTCTTCACTTTTCACTTTTCTCCCCATCTTTTTTGTTTGTGTTCCCTCATTGTTTCTCTCCTACCCTGTCCTCTGTTTTCTTTTCCATATATCTCCTCTCATCTTGTCCGCTCTCTCCCTCTTCATCTGCAGTGGACCTGTTGGACCTCAGCGTGGCTCAGAACACCTTCGAGCAGCACAAGCTCACCAACAACAATCAGCTGCTGTCCGTCCCCGACGTCATCAACTGCCTGACGTCAATCTACGACGGCCTGGAGCAGGAGCACAAAGACCTGGTCAACGTGCCGCTCTGTGTTGACATGTGTCTAAACTGGCTGCTCAATGTTTATGACACGTACGTATGCCATCTGTTACATATTTAGGATGGAAAATTACAAATGAGACTCGTTGCTTTTCCGAATTTGTCACAGATTATGACAAAACCTGGTAATCGTGCGTGTCCCCGCCTGCATCCTCACTTTTTGAAAATGGACTTGATGACTGCATTCAGAGTTGCTATAATATGAAGTTTGTTTATTCCAAATGCAGCATGTAAAATGTCTTAAATCAGAATGGATGAAAATGGCAGAACTGATGCATCTCATCATCCTGCTCTCGCATCTTCAAATCCATCTGAAATGATGTTTTCTGTGCATGATGATTATGTTATACATATCTGCACACTCATTCTACATGTTCTGTCAACATGCTTTACAGTCTGCACCAGCAAGTGCCTCTGTTGGAATACAAATGGCTGTTACACACTGTGTTTGCTGAGACCACACATGCATATGAACATTCTAAAATACACTGCACTGGCCTACACTGTCATAAATGTAAATGCTAAGTAGAACCACATAGGGTTCTTGGTCTTGTCCCTGTAGGAGAACCCTTTTTAGAACCTTTTGTAAAAGTTCCACCTTGAATTCTTTTAGAGGGTTTTCCCTAGAACCCAACATAAAGGGTTATACCTAGGACAATCTGTGAAAGGGTCTACCCAGAATCCCCTATGTGAGGTTCTACAACGAGCCCTTCTGTGGTTTGAAGCCCAGTTCAGACCAAAGATTCGCGACAAGATGAGTTGAAACAGGCAACTACTTGCAGTGTGCTGTTCTGCAACGTTTCACACCAATGCAACCAAATGAGAAGGTGTATCATCCTGATACACGTGATATTGAGATACTGGCTACAGTTACGTTTGTAGTAGTGATGCAACAGTGAAAACCATAAAATAAGCATCAGATGGACTGTATTCATAATAAATATGCCATGATAATATAAATAACCAGCACCAATTAATCAGTCAATGAGATGTGTATGTGGGGGGGGGGGATAAGCACACAGCAAGCATCAGCAGCAACCCACCGTCTGACGCCGGCCCAAACGCAGTGGGCTCAACGGGGACGGAGCACCTGTCATTTTGACTTAACCTGCAAACTACACTACAAGATGATTGGCTGTTGAAACAGGTGACGAGCTTTAAGTTCTAAAACCAGCCGCTGGGAATGTGACAAGTGGAGTTGCAGGTGACATCATCAGCTGGCTTGAGTTGAGCTCAGACCAGTTCATACCGCTGCAACTCTTCTCTGCAATGTTCCAAAACTGGTTTCGTTTCAAGGGTTTTATCTAGAACCCACCACGGGGTTCTACCAACAACCTTTTTATATTGCACTGATCACGGTTTTAGTTTAATAAGTTAGTTTGAACCACGGCCAGCAGCCTCAGGTTTCATGAAGCTTCTAAAGGACATGGGCTGATGTGGTCCATCGGAACCCGCAACACTAATGGTTCACATGAGTATTTTTAGGGGGTGGAGATTTTATGAACAACCACCACAGTCTTTACTATTTCAATGATGTAGTGGATTTTAACTCTACCAGGATGCTCAGTGGCAGAGTGAACAGTATCTCTGACCATTAACTAATTAACATAGTGTCCGTTCAACACAGGTGGTTCTGGGTAGAGCCTCAGCTCTTCGGGAAGAACCCCTTTGGAACCTTTATTTCTAAGAGTGTACAGAGCGTGGGCACGTGTGTTGACATGTGGCAAACCAATATACTTACTGGTTTAAATTTTTGTGGTTTGTGGGTATGCAGAAAATGTATTAATAAACTCAGCAGCTATCTCCAACCATGAGAGAAGTACTAGAGCACACATTCATGTTTGAAGATTCTTCTCCTCACAAGCGTGTAATGATTCCACATCAATGCTGCTGCATAGATTTAAGATCTGAGCTGAACTGAACACACATAAACATACTGCTTATACACAAACATACACCCACAATGAATACATCATACACATTGCCACGGTCTTATATATATATATGTGTGTGTGTGTGTGTGTGTGTGTGTGTGTGTGTGTGGTCCCTGCAGTGGTCGCAGTGGCAAGATCCGTGTCCTATCCATGAAGATCGGTTTGCTCTCTCTCTGCAAGGGACATCTGGAGGAGAAATACAAATGTAAGTGTTCAAGAGTACGTAAGATATCTGCTGATGTACATATGCAATTAAACACACCGCTGTCCTGCCCCCCCACCCCACCCCACCACCCATGTAGAGGCCAGTCTGCGGTGAGTCCATCCCATACTGTTCAGCACGGCTGTAATCCCAGCAGTATTAATCAAACTCACAGAAACAGAGATAGAGAGGAGACAGAGAACGGGTCGTCTAATTGCAAGAGAGACCTCCTACGCGCTTCCCCTGTTCTTTATTTAATTTTCTATTCTGATTTATTTTTGAGGATTAGCGAGCGTGAATATAGGCTTGCTGCACTGGGAGGAGACCGTCATTTTGGCTTCCTGCTCTTTGTTTCTGGTGCTTTATCTCTCTGTGTCTATCTTCCTCTGCTGTCACAGCTCACACCATCCTTCATCCATCCAACAGTGCCACTTTGTCTTCTGTCCTATCTTACTTACTCTTGCTTCCCTTCTTTTCTCCGTCCTCCTTCCCCTCTTCCTTTTTCCCCTCCCTTTCTCTTGCCATGGTATCCCTGAGCCTATTCGTTCCACTGGCAGTTTCTATTAGCCTGAGAAGGGTATCAAGCACGCTTGATTGCGTCGTTCCTCCTTTACTCTTTTAGAGTCTCATTGGCTGTCAGTCCCGTGCATATTTCTACACTGCAACACACACATACACCTAACCAGGCGTGCTGCCATTCGACACTCTTTCTGTGACGCTTGCGCATGTCAAATGTAATCTTGTAGCAGAAAAAGTGAGTAGGAGATGTGGGTGCTGATCAGTCAGATGACATGAGGTGTGTGAAGGAAGGGGGTCACAAACACGCGTCTTCGCTGGTGTTTGCATGTACCACGCGCACACGTACTTAACAGGAGCTGGCATCAGGGCCAGGCCTCACACAGAGATCAAAGTCAGCTACAAGCGGAGCAGAAAGACCTGTCATGCCCTTCATTTCTCCCTCTCCCTCCCCTCTTCCTCTGGATTACCCTCTCTGCTCTCTTTGCTCAGTTTGTGCATGAGCTCTGGAGATGTTCCATAACTTCCTCTAAAATATAATGTGTTAACTGGCCGAGACTGCGTGTCACTGGGCAGGCGTCCATATCCAGTACAGCTCTGTCAATCTCAGAGAGAATGTGGTGGAGTATTGCAGGCAGGGAGAGATTAGAGGAGAAAGAGTCTGGCATGTAAGAAGTAAGACAGAAAGATTAAAAATGCATCTTTTCGCTCATTTCATGTGCGTTCTCCCCACCAACTCCCACCCACATGTAAACGCACTAACACTCTCCCTCCCACTTACAGTCACACTTTCTCCCTCCACAGCTATTTATACCTATGTCTTTTATTTTAAATATCACCCACATGCTTTGACTCGTTTTCTCACTCCCTCTTTGTCTATTTTTTCTTCCCTCTCCCTCTCCTTACCTCATCCACCTCCACCCAATCTCCCTCAGACCTCTTCAGCCAGGTAGCGTCAGCAGGTGATACATGTGACCAGAGGCAGCTCGGTCTGCTGCTTCACGAAGCCATCCAGGTCCCAAGGCAGCTAGGGGAGGTGGCCGCCTTCGGAGGCTCCAACATCGAACCCAGTGTGCGCAGCTGCTTCCAGCACGTATGTATACACACGGGGACACACACACAAGCTTGTAGTCACGCACTTAACGCATACAGGTCATTGTACTTAGACACGCATCTGAGGAATATGCCAGCACATGAGCTCACATGATGGTCTTAAGATAGATTACAGGCATGGGGAAGAAATCTTTTTGGAATGCTAATTATGTAAAAAAAGAATGCATGCATAACAACGCACATGAAAATCCACATTTTACTTTCATTTTAAAGTCATAATTGATAATGTGTTATCAGTTAAAGCAGCTCATGTCCAATATGATGACAAATATTTACTCAAAAATAAGGCAGACAAATCTCACTTCATGGACAAAGTGTCAAACTGCAAGATAATTCAAATTGTTATTTAACCATAAAATTAATCTGCAGCTATTTTAATAATTGAATGATCGTTTAAATAATTTATTGAGCAACATGCCCAAAATAAACCTACTGCTTTCACCCTCACAAATGTGAATATTTGCTCATTTTCTCAGCCCCCTGTGAGAGTAGACTAAGTAGTCTGTGGTTTTTGGTACCCTGGAAATCCAGAGTTCTCGCGAGAGCACAATTTGAATTTGCTCAGTGAGTCACTCTGGCAATCAGTAATAATGCTCATTACCCATGCCCTTGTAGCCGAGCTGCACCAATCACATTGGTGTATCTGATATAGGCAGGCCAGAGGCGAGCTAAACAGATGACGACAGCGCTATGACGACAAAGTCTGGAATCAGTCAGTAAACACTGCAAGATGGCTACGGATGAACACCAGTTGTTTGAAACGGCTTTGGCTACTACAATAAACGAGTTAGACTTGGCTTTTTCTCTAAAAGAGGAACAGAAGACGGCGCTCGAATCTTTCCTTTGCAAGAAGGATGTTTGTGCTGTTTTGCCGACCAGATACAGCAAGAGTCTAATCTACCAGTTAGCTCTGCTGGTAGCGCTCTGGATACGTCACCCCGCGTATTGTTCTGATTGGTCGTAGTGTTATCCAATTGCATGCAGTGATATTTCAAATGCATGCTTGGTGCCGCCCCTCGAGTTGGGCCATTTGCATTACTCATAGCCAGACCCTAAATCTTTCTAGATTTGGGTCTGGATTTCCAGGCTAGGTTTTTGGACTGCTGGTCAGACAAAAAAATGCAATTTGCAGGTGTCACTTTGGGCTTTGGAAATAACAATGAACAGTTTTTCACCATTTTACGACATTTTGGAGACCAGAGTTTTCAATCAAGAAAGTAAGAAGCACATTAATTGCTGATAAAAATAGTTGTTGCAGCCCTAATGCAGCTCAAGGCTAGTTAAAGCTTATAAAGCTGGCCTGAGAATGAACAACTTACAACAGTGTGACTGAACTAATTTAAACCAACTCTTCTCAAAGTGACCTACAGATTGCTTTTTTCCTTATTTTGAGAAACTAGAATATCCGCATGTTCGGGGACAATTCAGGCGTTTAGTCCTGTGGTAGTCCTGCAATTGAGTGGAACACCCATCTGATAGATAGATGGATAGATAGATGGATAGATAGATAGATGGATGGATAGATGGATAGAATTGACAGTCATAAAATACATATAAAACTGCTTCACCTGAAGAGAGTTATCACATATATGTACAGCTGTCGAGGATTGAATTATACAAGAAAGCCGCAGGCCTATATCCATTGTGATCCTCTGTGGGGGCAAGTCAATCTGGCAAGACCAACAGGCACAAATACAATATCCATATAATTACATACATAAATACCGAACTACACCTGCCAATCAAATCATTGTGCAGAAGGAAGCGTGCCATCTACTAATGGACTAAAGGCTCGTGCTCATGACAGTGCAAGATGTAAACATTAATGGTGTCCTCCTTGGCTGAGCTGTAACGTTAGCTAGCTCAGTGGTGCTAGGTGAGCCAGCAGTAGATGCACAGTGATACAGTTGGCAGTTCTGTTGCAAGAAAATAGTTCCTACATCAAATTGCTCCCAATAAGGTCTGGAAAGAGACACATGCTGTTGAGTTTTTCAAATGTATTATTTTTTTGGCGTTTTGAGCACCAAAAGCTGAGTGCATCTAGTCCAAAACAATCTAGATCGATAAATAGCACTACAGGTAGGAGAAAGAAAGTGTACTTTTGATTTTGGGGTGAACTGTCCCTTTAAAGATACTTGAATAAAATGGCTGGTGTTCCACTCTTATCCGTAGAAGATTTCTTGCATGGACTCCTTCCTGTCACACTCTCTGAGCCAGTTTGTGACATGAATCAACACCTATCTGATACAGTGTTCAAAAAGCTGAACATTATAAGCCTCAAACAGGCGAGATTTATTGTCGGGCTATTTCACTGCTTTGTATCTGTCTCTGCCAGCATTTCCACACTGGCGACTTTCCCCACAGGTTTTTCCAGCTTTATGTTCGTGTAAAGGTTTTGGAGTCACAGCAACCAGAGGTTGGTCAAAGTGGTCAGTATACATAGGAGTTGCATCACTGATAATAGTTTTTGGCAGGTAATCAGTACTGTAAGAGATTAAGTTTTGGTGCATCTTCTCCTAGTTAATTGTCATTAAGCACCTCAGTCTCTTCCATGTTTCTCAGCGATCTAACACCTGCCTCTCTCAATCCTGTAAAAGCGCTTCAATATTTAAGCTCCACTGACCAACCATGAAGCCTCAAATGGCCTCCAGTCTTCTGCTGGCTGTCCTCTAGTGTTTTACCGTGGCCAGCTAACCACTTTCCTCTGGTTTATCTCCGGACGTTACTGGCATTTAATGATGTCTTCATCCCTCAGGATTACTGTTTCATTTTTCTCTCTCTTCTGCCCCTGGCTCATGCTTCGGCAGTCATAAATGGGAGCCAAACATTAAAATTAGGAAGCTATAAATTACACTGATCTCCTGCTCTGCGCCTCTCAAAATAGCAGAGTGAGGCACTTTTAAACCTTATCTCTCTCTCTTTTTATTCTCAAAATAATGGAAAAGGTAAACAGGTTGCCACAATTCACTCTCTTGATGACATATTAATACACACATACACCCAGAAAGGTGAGCACGCACAAGTGCACGCACTAATTGCTCCCAGACTTGATCATGAATTGCTGTGCCATCCGTAGTCCAGTCGCTCATTAATCATTCAATCATCAAACCAAGTTGGCAGGTAGAAAGCAGACTGACACGCACACACAAACACAAGCAGAGCCCCATGCCACCTGTGTGTCAGTCTGCCCTGCCAGTGACACTGCAGTCACCCAGTCCATTTGGTTTAATGGGCCCATGATGAATGAGTTGCACCGCTATAAATATGGCTCTTTTCACTGTTCCTTTGTCACTCTCCTTCATTTATCCGTCCATCCCTCTATCAAGCCATCCTTTCAGCCATCGTCTCCTCTGCAGTAATTAATCTGTAAGTGCTATAATTCTGCACTTAGATGGCACGGAGGAGGGACGGGAGGTGAAGATGAGACTAGCGTATGGGAAAGGAGAGACAGAGAGGTATTGTGATTGTTCTGGAGAAGGTCAAACGGAAGGCTGAAGGATGTAAAGATGATTTGAGATGTCATCAAGGTGAAAGTTTCATTGGTGGTGTTCTAATTTGTCAACCAGTAACTTTCAGAAGCCTTCCTACAGTATGCCCTTCAGTCCGTCTGAAAGAACCACACTTAATTAACATTTTATGGCTTTCAAGTTTTCAAAATGGACATGTAATTCACTGAACATTAAAAAATAATCAACTGTTCAGTCATAACCTCTCACCCCTCCGTTTTATGCATTCACATCTCGGGATAAGTCTTCCTGATTCTTACTGGGATGGAGGGCTAGGGCAAAGTTTTAGGGCTACATGACCCTCCAAATGGAGATTTTTCAAGGGCACACTTTAACGAGTGTGACAAGACATCATGGGCAAGATGGCTCCTCAAGCAACAAAACAAACCCATAAATGTTTTTTCTTCATTGATAAAGATTTAAAAATGATAGCCATCATATTATTGTTTCAATGTATTATTGACGTTTTCTTTATAATAAGCATAACAACAAAAGCACAAGTAGTATGCTGATGTCTCGGTTGCTGAGTAGCTAGCTCACTAAAGTTACATTGTTTTTGCTTATTTCTGCATGTCACTACCAAATTTTGACATATTTCCATATTGCACCCTACCTCAGCCTCTGTTTTATGTTTTATTTGATGACTTACTTGATCGACTGATAGTGTGAAACTCAAGTATGCTTTACCGGTCTTTGGGTCTTGAAGGGTCATCCCATTTGATAGGGTTAAATTTTTTAACCACAGACCTTTGTAACCTTGTCCCAATGGGCAAAGGTGCACTCAAAAACAAGGGGCAGGGGTGAAAATAAGAAATGGGATTGGGCCAACGATTGATGATGTCTGAAACAAATTTCCCTAGGTGAGTTTCAGAACAGATACCAAATCAATACTCTCTTTGATACCTTACTTTTAAGAACATAAACATGTTTTTCTTTAACTGAATTCAAACTTCAAAAGTTCAGTGTTGTCTAAAGTTGAACAGCTGTGCAAGAACCTTCCTTATGAAATACAGTCAATAGTTGACAAAGTTTTGAGCTGGAGTGTGGGACTCACATATATAAATGGACGGCCGTTACATCAAACGCAGCAGCCTGCGGCGAAAAGTTGAAACAGATTGAACTTTTGGAGAAACGCAATCTGATGTCACACTGTGGTGGCCAAGTACATAACCAGCAATCAAACTAGAAACATGCCCGCAGTCCACGGGAAAAGAAATACCTTTTTCTATCGTTAGATATTATAGTGAGTTAAAGAAATAAAGTGTGTGTTAACAGCTTGTGTGTACTATTCTACAAAGGTCCACATTCATCAGACATAGAAAACAAATTAGGACATTCTGTAGACGTTAATAGGAAAAGCCTATATCTAAGCTTGTGATATAATGGACAACAACAAGGGAAAGCTCTAATTATTCGCAGTGGCGACTTACACGCGCTGGTGCCCTGGAAGTGATGCGTGTGTTTACATCAGCGAGAGCTAAAGGTGGCAGGAAGGCAATGGAGCAGCAGCTACGAGCATGGTGGAAAATCCAAAGGAGCAGTAAAGAAAAGAGAGAAAGATCCTAGAGTGGATGCTCTGGATAAAAGATAGCACTCCTGGGGGAAGGGGGAGCTGCAGCGAACTCAACTGCAGGCATACGTGTGTTGACATTGTTTGTGTAATTACTCTCACTGCCAGATGGGGGAGACAAAACTCCCCCACTCCTGCTTTAGAATATTTCATTAGTAAAGGCGAGCATAAACCTGAGAAAATATTTGATGCCAGTTTTGAGTGCTTGACCTTTTTCAGTATTTGGTGCTATGAAAATATTAAATCTTATCACACACCAAAGCTCCCTCGTAATTGTTTTTTTGGAGAATGGCTGCAAACATTGATTTAAAAGACTGATCCCTGATTCCAGTTTTCAGGTTGGAATGTGACTCTTTTTAGTTTGTTTTGTTGCATGAATTTATTTTCAGGAGGGTATGCTAATAAAATCGAAACACTTAGTGTTGCACACCATAAGCCGTGGGAAGGGATCAGGGAGCACACACACACACACACACATATACACACACATACTCTGTTTCTTTTGATTATTCTCTCCTCCTATTTCAAATGCATTCAGCCCTTTGCTGCATTCGCTGCCCTTTTTGTGTGTCAGGAATGATGGAAAGGTCGTCTTTGATTTGCTAGCGGCAACAGACATGTCAGAGCTTCTCACCCTGTGTTGGCTTTTCCAATGGGCTCATTATAATTTGCAGTTAAACAAATATTCTCCTGGAATAAATTATGTGAATGTGTTTTCTTGTCCTGTAATGTTTAAAGGGACGACAGCTGAAAAGTGAACACTATTGATTTTAGGTTGTTGTTCTTGGAGAAGCCTAGATATTGTTTCACATCCAGATTATTCAAAATTATAGAGGTTGCACCATGCAAATTAAGGTTACATAAAAAAAAATTACACCTCCAAAAGTTTAGAGCAGCAGTTAAGAGTAGGAGTTCGGGGGTGTTTTTCATACTTATACTTGCACAGAGCAATATGGCTGTTAGCTAACAGCAAAGATATGGGCATGTATGACAAGTGCAGTGAGGGTGTTCAAATCAATCACTGTTTATTGTTAGATATTTCAACCAATAAACTTGAATAAGTTGCTCATAAAAGTTATTTAGTCTTGGTCCAAATTTCAAGGCCGTAATGCACCCACGGGAATTGCTGCTTTAATACGTACGGTCATCTTAAATTTGTCTGCATCTTTATTAGGCTTTCAGTAACAAGCAAAGAATTACAGCCTGTTGTTCATTCATGCTAATGTGTGATTCTTTATCATTCTACAAAGTGTTCTGACACTGTATCAGCTCTGTTGAACTTTTTTAAAAACTGTTAACTTCACACAGTTGCTAAACTTTTTGAATTTGAATGCTCCTAACTCTCGGCCCTGCCTCTATTCTGCACAGGTGACCAATAAGGTGGAGCTGGAGCCTCGGCAGTTTATTGATTGGATGCGTCTGGAGCCCCAGTCCATGGTTTGGCTACCTGTCCTGCACAGAGTGGCTGCAGCAGAGACGGCAAAACATCAGGCCAAGTGTAACATCTGCAAGGAGTGTCCTATCGTTGGCTTCAGGTAAACACACTCGAAAAACACAAAATAAGAGACAAGTCTGCAACATGTAACAGGCCCCTCACACACAAACACCAGATGTGGCAGTGTTCTGTGCTGTTCTCTCCTGGTTGAGCATAAAGGGCAGATCTGCTCTGGAGGGCAGGCATTTATCTAAATGTCAACAGCTGATACACCACTGACTAAATACCATCCGGTGGTTTGCAACGAAACATACACACACACTTACAAAGTCAGCAACACACTCATGCACACAAACATACGCTGCACAGTCACATTTACAAAGTTCACAAAGAGCTGATTGGCTGGCAAACAATCCATAACAGACCACCCTCTGATACTTTGCTGGACTGACAATCGCACTCACACATAAACACACCCAGAGCTGCCTTTGGTTTACTTGTTCTCATACACTTAGGGCCCTAAACAGTCGGCCGTTGGTTATTGTCTGGTGGTCAGTGAATGTCTGTCGCCCTTGTTTTTGCAGTGTGTCCTGCACCATTGGCACTAGTCGGCCCTTATCAGCTGTTTTTAGGCCCATTCAGCATGTTGAATCAGCCTGTGAATGAAAACACAATCCGATTGGCTATTCAGGTCAGTGCACGAGAAAAGAAACAGAATTGAGGAAACCAAACAAATGGCTAAAGGCAAGAGGGTGTGAGATTGAAACAAGCTTGTTATGTTAGATAAGGTTGTTTTTTGGCCACTGAGCTGTTTGTGTTCAATCAATCATCAATCAATCTTTATTTATAAAGCACTTTTCATACAAAAAAAATGTAGCACAAAGTGCTTTACATGGTTAGAAGAAATGCCCCTCCCATCCACCCCCCAGCCACCCACACCCCCACAGACACACCCACCCACCCACACCCACCCACACCCACACACAAACACACACACCCACCCACCCACAAACACAGTCATGATGTAGACATAAAAACATGTGGCAGAGCGCAGAGTTGTTGTTGGCTAGCGCACTGTAAATATACTTTGTTTATCTGATGTCAGGTTGTGTCATTAATGTGCTAAGTGGCTAACTAGTGTCTTGAATCCTTCCTGTTGTTCTGCCGGTTTTTCTCTTTGAATAACACATACAGACAACTGCCTCCTGTTGTTATGGTGAGTCATTTCCTCTTACGCAGACACAGAATGTACATGCTGGTTAGCCGGTGTCTGTAATCTTTGAAGTGTGTTCAAGAGCATCATTTTATCAAAGACACAATGCATGTGGCGAGGCAACAGTTGGCCTTCGTCAGCAATAGTTCTTTGATGTCAGTTCAGTGTGTGTGGGCCTTTATACAATAACAACAGGTAAAGTGAGATGTGCATTACTGTTCAACAGCTGAAGTCAATTTATCATAAAATTTAGTTTTTCACTGACCAGTTGTGCAGGGAAAAGCTTTTTCCCATGGCTGGAGATATGTGTAACACTATCCCAAGTGAAGTACGGCTGCAGAATTGTCCCATTCAGATCCTTTGCTTTGCCAGCAGAAAGAGAAATACAGTCAGACATTTGATGAAGCACACGTCTCCCAAGTTCTGTCATTGATCGATGAGAGGAAGCGATGGAGGGAGGGGAAGGCTGAGAGCAAGTGAGAAAAAGGAAGGAAAATGCATAGCAGGCATTTTGCAGATTTCTTTTTTTCCCCCTCACCTCACAAGCAGCGGTTTTCAGATGAGCATTGTACATGGGATCATCCAAGAACTCAAACAGAATTTAAAGGATAATGTCTCAGCAGATATGTTTAATTGGAAAAATGTCCACTCAATCGTCAAAATTGACTGGATCGTTAACAAGCCACTGAGCCACATTCAACACGCATCGTTTCCTATGCGTTCAAGCAAACTTGTCCTGCGCACGTGCTACATACATACTTACTTTCAGTGTTGGACCTGTTGACAATAATTAAAATGCTATGGCTCCTGCTTCAAAATGCCAGTGAGACAAAATACCTTCATGGCGTTTTTAATATGATAATTTGTAGGACTAATAACTTAGAATTGGATGTTGACCTTTATTTTATAAAGCAGTTTTATTTCTCTACTTCGGTTTTAATATCTTCTTGCTCATGGCATCTTATTGCCATGATTTAAATCAGTGACTCCCAACCAGGGGTTCATATAACCTAGTGGGGATTTATGCACTTGCCACTGGGGTACGTGAAAAACTGTGGAGTAGCGCAACTAATTAAAAAAAAGAAATTATGATTTGATTAAAAAAAATTAACATATTTGTGTTAAGGCTGATAATAACCATCAAAATAGAATAATCCAAATTGGCGTGATGTTGTCAGTTGTAACTTCATTAAATCACCAGTACCACATTTTTTTGCTATTGGTATTGGTGCCTTTATTACCAGTGTTGGAAGGGTTAATCTTAAAACGTATTCTAGTACAAATTACTTAATGTATGCTGTAGAATGTAATTTGTAATGTATTTCACTAGATTACTCAAAATAAGTAACGTATTCGAAATACTTTGGATTACTTTTAAACACTTCAGAATCATCTCGCAGAGCTCATTTGCCTGTTTGTGCCACAAACACATTCCTGACAGCGTCCTGGCTGTGCATCTCCTCCTCCCTTGTCGTGTGGCAGGTGCACTGCACATACTGCTATTTTATCTGTTTATGAGAAATGCGAGGCTCATATAAATTTTACACTAAGTTCTAACAGCAGGCAAGCATCGCTCTCTGTCCACACTGAATCTAAGAGCCAGGGCGAGCTGTTTTTCAACTAAGCGACACGTTGCTCAGCCTGTTTACTGATGCACAGAGCAGTTTAGGACGTCTCCATTGGGAAACACTGAAACATTCTTATGTTCACTTGCTCATTTGTTTGAATTACGTCGAGTTAGGAAAAGGTGTGAGATGTTGTTCGTCCGTTGCAGAGACAGGAGTTAATAGAAACAGGGTGTCTGAAAATTTTCAGCTCAAAATGGCAGTGCTGCGTTGTGCATCACTTGAGACATTACAATAGAAAACAATGCAATCAAACTAATGCTCGCTCACATGGCATTTAGTTAGGACATAATGTTAGAGCAAATAAAACAAAGTAATCCCTTCAAGTGTATTTTTAAAGAGAGTAAGTGTATTCATGATATCAGCAATTTAAATTGTAAATGTAACAGTATACAGTTACTCATTTCTTAGATTCCATCCATCCATTTTCAACCGCTTATCCGAAGTCAGGTCGCAGGGGCAGCAGGCCGAGCAAAGCATTCCAGACGTCCCTCTCCCCAGCAACGCTTTCCAGCTCCTCCTCAGGGACCCTGAGGCGTTCCCAGGCCAGATAAGATATGCAATCCCTCCAGAGTATTTTGGATCTACCCTGGGGCCTCTTACCATTGGGATGTGCCTGGAACACCTACAACAGGAGGCGCCCAGGAGGATCCTGATTAGATGCCTCAACCACCTCAACTGACCCCTTTTGATACGAAGGAGCACCGGCTCTACTCCGAGCTCCCTCCGGATATCCGAGCTCCTTACCCTATCTCTAAGGTTGAGCCCAGCCACTCCGCAGAGGAAACTCATTTTGGCCGCTTGTATCCGCAATCTCATTCTTTCAATCACTGCCCAGAGCTCGTGACCATAGGTGAGGGTTGGGACGTAGATGGACCAGTGAATCAATCCTCCTGGCTCAGCTTCTTTTTTATTTCTTGGATTTTAAATACAAAACGGCGTAACTTGTATTCAGTTCTACCCCAACCTTGTATATTGCTGAAATTGATCATATATCGTTCATTTTTTTCGTAAAGCGTGTGCACCGTAATCTTGCACAAAAGTTGCCTAATTAAAAGTAATTTTGCTTAAGAAGACCAGACAATACATGTTCCATCAATAAATTAAGTTGTTAGCCGATAAACTCATTAATTAAAGGCCACCTCTTCACCTCCAGCGGTGAAGGTGAATTAACACCCCCTCCTCGAAGTAATATGCTGTATGTCAGTATGTAATGACACATTTGACTTGGTGGTGTCATGTGCGCTGTTGCATCCTTTTGATATATGGCAGTCTCTCGTAGCTCATCAGTCAGCTAACCTTGGGAGAGCCAGGGAGGAGAGAGAGATAAAAGACTTAAGCTATTATGTCTGAATGGCTCCTGTCTCAATTGAGCTGTTAAATGGCCTTCTGGCTACAGCTGCTGCTGAGGACAACCTCCTGACAGTTGTTGTCACGTTGTTGTGTTTTGGTGGAAATCCAACTGTCTGTCACACTGTCAGCATATCGAGAAGGGTTTGGGGGTGTTTGTGTGGGTGCAGGTGTGGGTGTGGGTGTGGGTGTGGGCGTGTGTGTGTGTGCGAATGCATGTGGAGGATTGCGTGACAGTGGAAATCAAGAGCTCTCTAGGAGGCCTCATTGAAGCCTGGGGATGAATGATGTCGTAGGGCTACAAATGTGCTCACTCACACACACACACACACACACACACACACACACACACAACTTGAGGACATGAAAGTGACACCTGCACACACTACTTCCCAACTCAACTTATCTCACTTTTCACCTCCCTTTTTACTTTCACCCTCTCTCTCTCTCTGTCTAGGTATCGCAGTCTGAAGCATTTCAACTATGACGTGTGTCAGAGCTGCTTCTTTTCTGGGCGCACTGCCAAGGGCCACAAGCTCAACTACCCCATGGTGGAGTACTGCACACCGGTGAGACAGCAACACACACACACATACATAGCAGCACACGCTGTTCAGCAGCTCATCTCATATCTCTTTTCCACGCGCTCACACACTTCGCTCATCTGTTTAATGAAGGCACACACATCCACACTTACAGCAACACATTTATACGGCTTTCCAATTTAAATCTATTACCTCACGCTGAACACAAGCTGTTGTCTCACTTTGCAAGTATTTTGTAAATCTGTTGAATGGTTATTTGTATTCAGAGTATGTGGGCAGCCGAATGTTTGACCCACATGTGATCGGTGAACATCTCCTTCCAAAACCATGAGCATCAATATGCTGCTAATTACATTCATCTCATTTGGATGGGATCACTGCCTTGATGCAGTCGGGGTGCCAGCACAGAGGGCTCTGGCAAAAAGACACAGGGTCTTCCTGAAGAACTCAGCTCATTTTTTGTCGCAATGCAACATCGTTGGCCAAAGAACTGTGTCAGCCACTCAAAGTTGTCCCCAAAATTGTGATCATGTTGAAAGATATTGAACATTGTACAAAATATTGTCAATCAGCAGCTTCAGTTCAAAAGAACCGGAATCAGGAAATGTCTGGATAAATGCACATGCAGTGACAGTGGCTTGGTAGTGTATTAAATGTAAGCTATTGAAAGTGAAAGTACTGAAATGGGCTGCAGATAATAAAAATATAATGCATGCATTTCATGTGACATTTAGGGGCCACACAATGTTTCTGGGAAACTTTGTCTTTAAGGTTGAGGTTGGGACACTGAGATCAAGTGGGGTTAAGTCAAGTCATTTCACCCTACATTCAGAAAACCAATTTGCTTCATAGTGTTGCTGTTGTTGAGGCGTTTGATACAGTACTGCAAGTGTGAAACATATTTTTATCCTCTCACTGTGATGAATCCATGTTGGCATTACTCCTGCCACTTGCCTCTACATCCCACTTCCCGTGCAGTTGATTTCTCCAACTTGTTCCACGATCAACTCTCCCGACAGACCTCTGGCCTAATTTGAATTTTCAGGAACAAATGGTAAAATGCTCGCAGCTCTCTGAGGTCTTTTTATAATTTCTGCCAGAAAGCAATATTTCACTTTACTACTACGCAGAGAGAAGAATATTGGAAAAGGGGGAGCTTGGCAAAATTGAACATTGCCCTCTCTCTCAATTAGGATCGTGCACTTGTGGGCCAACTCGTTTCAATATTGCTTAATGTCAAACTTTGAGTGACTCGAGTGGGGACGTTTCTCATTTCTGTCTTTTAATTTGCTTTTTCAATTTTGCAAATGGGATAGATATTGACTCTGGAGGAGCAGCTGTAGGGAGCAGCGATCATTCTTCCCTGAGTTAAGATGCCCAGCAGCTGCCTGCTGCGACTTTGAAAAAACTTTATCTTATTTTCAGCTGTGCTGCAACGACAAACACTTAAAATGTTGGTTAAAGATTATTAGGCAGCTATGGGGTACGTTACATCACTGAGGAGTTTACTGCTCAGCAGCTTCACCAAAAAGGAAAAAATTAACAGTGACTTCAGAGGATTCAACATTTCCCCTCCACATGTTGTGTCACATCTTAAAATCAAAGTGGGTTTTATAAAGGCTTTTTGACAATGATCTACACACATCCCCATTAAATTGTATTTCCAAATTATTGCCATTACTAAATAACGCCAAAACAATGCCGAATTACAGCTAAACTGGTGTAGCACTGATTCGTGGACTGGTAGCTGGAGAGGTGCCAGTTTGCCTCCTGGGCTCTGCAGAGGTGCCCTTGAGCAAGGTACCAAACTCCCAGCTGTTTGGGGCGCCTGTCCATGGGCAGCCCCCCCGCTCTGACATCTCTCCGTTTAATGCATGTATAGGTCTTCATTGTGCATGTGTGTGTATTCCGGGCCTGTGTGTATGAAAACCTCTGGGAAATTCATTCATTCTTAAAGGGACAGTCTACAGGAAAAAATCAAAAGCACCTGTTTTTCCTCTCACTTGTTCACACAAGGTCCTTGAAGTTGTATTTTGAGTGGAAAAAAGTTAAGTACTGAAATACCTTGAAGATAGTCCTTTTTTAAAGATTTTTTTTTTTTGTTTTATTATATAGGACAGTCTAAGTGTGAAGGGGGAAGAGAAGGGGGATGGCATGCAGTGGCCGCTGCGGCAAGGACATTGCCTTTGTATATGGGACACCTGCTCTGCCCACTAAGCCACCGGGCACCCAAAAAATAGTCTTTTTTTTTTTTTTTTTTTGGCAAAGTGTTTCACAAGTCCTTGAAATTAAAATGAACCACATACTGTCTTTTTTTTTTTTTCTTTCTTTCTTTTTTTTAACCAAAGTTTTGTTCATGAAGTCGTTATAGTTAAATTACTCAGAATCAGAAACCACTCAGCTTTTTTGTTTTTTTAAATTCTGACACATCACCATCTTGCGGTATGCTCTCCTTTCGCCCTCACCTTGATGATGTACTGCACGACATAGTAGTAAAGTTTGTCTTTGCTCCACTTTTAAAAACCCCAGCAACACCATTAGGCCTAAATCTGCATGGCTAAACTTAATATAATGAGCTGTTTTTCATGTTGATTTGTTTTCTTCTCTCTTCATCGGTCCATCGCTGTAATAGCTCCACAGAAAACTGAAATTGAAACTTAAGTTCCAGTTGGCATCTTTTTCCTTGTGCTACTTTCAGATGGTTCTAGAGCTTCATATCATGTCAACCAAGCCCCCAGGAACAGCACAGAGCTTTGAAGCCAATTTTACATGTGGTCAAAAGTTAAATTCCACCATCCGGGGCTGTCACGTGATGGTATTGGGCCGAAAAAGACTTTTTACCATAAATTTACACTGGGAAAGAGGCAGCTATAAATTAGTGCATACTTTTATTTTTTAGGGCTACAACCCTCGCAAAATGACTTCACTGTCGGGATTCCATCCGTTAAGACCAAGAACACCTTGAAAGTCTCGATAAGCCGCACAGTTAAATCATTTTATCCACACTGAAGTTAGTGAAGTGCTAAACCTAAGCCTTGAGAAGGCAGACATCTCTCCAGCCAATATCTCCAATATTCTGCAACTCACACCAAAACTATCTAGATTGATTAATAGCGCTACAGGTGAGAGGAAAAATATGGATGATTGATTTCAGGGTGAACTGTCCCTTTAAGGTTAATCCAAGTTATATTTAATCTTCATTAGATTTTTGTACAGCTTTACCCACTCTGTGGCCAGTTTAATTGATTAGACATTTGAAATGATTTCTGTACAACTGCATCAGTGTAACTATTAGGGGCACAGTAAGGACAGTTTTAGATTTTCTTACAGCTGGTCGCACAAAGACCTAAGCAGCTAAGCAAGACAGACTTTGATATGATGAGATTGTGGATGTAAGGCCCACGCTTATGAGACAGATATGATAGCAGATCTCGCTAGAAGGACAAAAATCAGTGTGGCAGAAATCTGGTACATTTGGCAGAAAAGAGAGGCTCGTGACAGCAGCCTGGAAGCTGCAAAAAAAAAAAAAAAAATAAAATCCTGTGACAGACTGAGAGCAAAAGACAAAAGATTTTAACCACCGATTAAACAAAATATGTGAACTTATCAGTCACAATGTTGAGCTCTGCGTCTGCCAGGAAGCAGTCGCAACTTATCACCATCACTACTTTGAAGAATGGCTGTGACAGCAGCACACTGTCCGCAGGCTTTTCAGCACAAACAGGGATAAAGGGGACAATGAATGGAGCCAAATACAAGCAAATTATTGAGGACAGCTTGCTTCGCGGTGCCAAACACCTTAGACTGGTGCAACAGCTCATGTTCTGCTCAAATAATGACCTGAAGCATACACGACAGTGAGATCAATAATGGAGTGGCTGTAGAACAAAAGAAAAACCTTGAAAAGCTTTGAGAGCTGTGATATCACGTGACATTTGCTGTTCATGAACACTGCATATCCAATGTTACAGAGCTTTATTGAACTGTAAGATTCTGTAGACTGGTAAAATAAAGGTATCCAAATCTGTTAGATGTATCAAGGCCTGAATCTGTAACACCTGCCAGAGGGAAATCAAATGAAAACTCAACTGAATCAAATTATTGCGTCATTTTGAAGACTTCAGTTCAACTTTATTCGACAACTTTGATTTGCAAGTTTTTTCTCTATTCATTTCCCCCCCAAATATCAGCATCCTACATAATTATATTTACCCTTCCCCCCAACTCGAACCAAATTGTGTTTCAGTTTTATGCCTTTGAAAATACGGAGTCCATATTGAATAATGATTCTACAAAGAACAGATTTTGCAGAGAGTTAAAGACTGATAGTGGCTTTTGTGAGCCTCAGCACGATCATTTAATGTGATTCGTTCTCTCATCTTTGTCGCACTGTTTGCTTTATAGCCACAATATTGCTTTTTTTTTTTATTAGGTTTTTATGGGAGTGGCATTTTCATCGTTCCAATGGGTTTTGTCAGTGATATTGAAGAAGCCAAATTAGGTGCTGTGCTGTATTGATTACTGTAATTTCAATGTTTTCACCTTTCCTAAGTGGAAATGTTGTTTGGATTCGACTGCGGCAGGTGTCCCTTGTGTCATTTCGTTGTCACAATGCGTCAGGAGAGCGTCCTGGTGGCCTTGAGGTTATGATGCACACCCTGTAGCTTCAATATCTCTGATTTGATTCCAGCTGTGGAGCTTTTGTTGCATAGCCCCCCCTTTTCTCTCTCTTCCTAACTGTTTCCTGTCTGTGTTCACACTGTTATTATCTAATAAAGGCAAAATTTTAAAGAGAAAAAAATCCTGTCTGTTAAACCACACAAGGAGCTTACAGAAACACACACACGCACATAAACTTGCATAATTTCTCCCACAGCTTTAGTATAATTGTTCTTTAATTGCTGTTGGTTTGCTCAAGCTACCATCTTAAATTGCGTGGATTAGTCAATAAGCCAAGTGAACTCAATAGAGTCTGTTCATTTACGCATATCTGTCAGCGGTGGGAGTTGTATATTAGTGTGTGTGTGTGTGTGTGTGTGTGTGTGTTGAGTAGTGGTTGTCTGAATCCTCTGCAGAGCGATTTTCTTCCCCTCTGGTCAGACTGTTGTGGTAATTTGTTGTTTGCTTGCAAGGCAGAAACCGCTTCTGCAGGAGAACACCTTTGCTAAGTATCTAATTAACAAAACACATTCTCTTCCACACAAGCGCACATGCTGCTGATGTGTGCACAAGAGACTGTGGAAATGCTTAAACTCTGTCTTTCACACACACTTACACTGCAATGAATAACACACAAACTTTGTCTGACTCTTTGTCTGTCTCTCTGTGTGTCTCGAACTGCAGACGACATCAGGTGAGGACATGCGTGATTTCACCAAAGTGCTGAAGAACAAGTTCCGATCGAAGAAGTACTTTGCCAAACATCCTCGGCTAGGTTACCTACCGGTCCAGACAGTCCTAGAGGGCGACAACATGGAAACGTGAGTAACACTTGAGTGTCTTTATGAAACAGAACAGAGCTGAAATGTGATTTGCTGAAGTAAATTAAAAACAGAATCCACCTTATTTATTTTCAAGCATCACAATGCCTTTCAGCTGTCCCAAAGTCACAGTAAAGGGGACGTTCTCTTTAGCTTCATTAATGTGATGTGTTTGCGAGTGAAAAGGAACATGTGGCAGGGTTTACTGTCGGCACAAGAGGCATTTAAATCAAATGCTTAAAAAATGAGCAAAAAATACAGTGCGATACAAAGCTCTAGTGAGTTATAGAGGACTACTGGCCTCCACCCACACATACCTGACCTGCCACTGACATATTTAAAGCAGCATATAACAAGAGATAACTGAACAGTTAACCCACAGAGACAGAATTATAACTTGGAAAATGTATGTTGTCTTGTGTTGCTGTGTCTTTAAAAGATACTGCTTGTGATAAGATGCTTCAAGTAACACTTCACCCCCCAAATGACCATTAATTTGTCAGGTACTTAACCTGTTATGTTGAATTTGTGTTTTTCTCACATGCCTCCAGTGAACAAAGCATCGAAAAATGATTGATGAACTGACATGATACGGGTCTGTGTTTAAAATCAGCAAAACCATATCAAAACATCTGTCTCCAAGATGTTTGGTGCAGTGGTGAGCATTGTCGCCTCACAGCAAGTGGGTTCCTGGTTTGAACCCTGGGTGGGGGACCCCTTCTGTGCGGAGTTTGCATGTTCTCCGTGTCAATGTTTCTTTTCTCCGGGTACTCCGGCTTCCTCACACATTCTAAAGACATCCAGGTTAGGTTAATTGGGAACTCTAAATTGACCATAGTTGTGAATGTGAGTGTGCATAGATTCTTCGTTCACTATGAGGTAAAAACTAAGTTTAATTCACAAATTCAGTGTAACGTGGTGAGTAACTGATAAACAAATGGTCATTAGGGTGTGAAATATGCCTTTAGAAGCAGGACTGCTTGTGACAAAATGCTTCAACCGTGTATGAAAGTGGTGTTTCAGTGAATTAGAAATGCACATCGGGACTTGCAAGAGACAGACTCAGATCAGAATGGTCAAATTTATTGCCCCAGAGTCTGATGTATCCTGACCCAAGCTCCAAAAACCTTGGATCCTACACTTCTCAAAATACAACTTGATGGCATCTTTCATTAGAACTTCCTTGCTGCTCTGTGAAGCTCTAGTTTCTAAAACTCAATGCTCCCAGTTTACAACTCAGGCTTTCATCCACTACTTTTTACTCTCCAGGCCAAGATAACTTGAGTGATAACACTTGTAATATACATTTTCTTGACAAGGCTTCTCAAGAGCCTCACAAGACAAGTAGTACCCCCCACGACTGACTTTGGTGTGTAAAATTGGTTGAGTGCCCCTTTAAATGTATTTTACTGTCAAATCTCTGCCATAAATATCCTCAGGTCACAGATTATGAAGTCTCAGGCCTGACACAAACACACACACACAAACACACCTGTGCTACAGTGTGTGGGGGAGTGTTAATTTCCCACTCAGTTTATGTGTTTATTTACCTGTCGGTCCAGTCATTACCAGGTGTCGTGGCTGCACTGTAGATCTTGTGTCTGCAGCACCTGCCCCAGTGACTACGTCTGATTTATGTCCCTGCTCCTGCCAGCTGTAAATCCCCCTGGAGAGCCATTTAACTTGGCCTATATTATGCAGACGCCCAAGGCGGGCTCCTCGTCCTCCCTGTCGGAGTGTGTGTCTGAGTTGTGGCCCTTTAGAATACCAGCCGGCTCGCACCGTGTGCTCCAAGACTGTCACTCTTTTTACACGTTCTTGTGTTTTCTCTCCATTTTATCCATCAATCTATCTATTGTCTTCTTTCCTCCACCTGTCAGACATTTCCCGCTCAGGCTCTCGTTCTTTTGAACGATGTCGTTTTGCATCTTGTAAGCACCAGAAACTCTCAAAGATGTTCGTGCGTGCGTTCGGAGTGACTCACCTGTTCGCTCACGATAGATTTTCCCCGACATCCAGTTGCACACAGTCACCTCTCAGATGGATTGCACTCCCTCTTTCATCCCTCCCATCCTCGCCCCGTCCTCCCCCTCACCTCCCACCTCGCTCCATTCTCACTTCCCTTCCTCTCTGAAAAATGACTCCTGCAGAGATGCCGGCTTGATAAATGCCTCTGAAGGGTTGAGGAATTGTGGCGAAGCGCAAGGATCTTTTCAAAATATGGCAGAAGGGAATGGAGACTTAAAAAAATATAGGGTCATTTCATCGTTATCATTTTCCCGTCTATTACGGCATCAGGTCTCTCCTGTGAGCTGTGGGCTCTGTTGCCACGGGCTTAACTTCACTCTGAACACCTCTGTGTGCAAAAATAAGCCTGGATGTGCAATTATTTTGCCTTTGGAACTATAAGATGTGGCTCAAAAATATGATCAGTGATAAGTAATGTTCAGCTTTTCACCTTCATTTTAGACCTATATTATCACATTTTAGTGGCTTTTGCCATCTCCATGTCACGAAAATGAATAATGTGACCTAAATTGAAATGGATTTTTCTGGAAATGGAACAAGGTCCCTGCTTAAAAAGAGGAATTACACAGATTATGTAACTGTCATATCATGTGCTGCCATGTTCATTGTAATAAAAATATGATTTCTTATATTATGTAACATATGTTTTATTTATGTCTAATGCAAATCTAATGGGTGAATTGAAACAAACATAGGACTATCATCATCCATGGAAAACCTAGAAAAGTCATGGAATCTCATTTTCCAGGCCTGGACAAGTCATGGAATGAGTAAAATCCTTGAAAGTTTTGGAAAAGTCATGGAATTTTGTGGTGTGCAATGAAGTTACACTAATCTTGCGTGGATAACTGTCCACACATAATGTAACACAGCAACAAAATCTACTTTCTTTAGCTGTTGACATGAAGTAGCTCCAATATGTATCGATGTGCTACAGTGTTTTGTTTACCATCACATACGTTTCTTTTTCTTTTTCTTTTTCTCCCCACACTTTGTCTCTCCCTCCATCTAGCTGGATTTATGTTTGAATGAAGTTTGAATCTGATAAAACATCCCCTCAAAACCTCTTTAATGTGTAGTCGGAGCTCCATTGGTCATCTTTTAACAAAGTGAACTTCTAAGAAGTTGTAATTTTTAAAGCACTGTAACAGCCGAAGAGAAAATTAGATGGTCTGCTGTATAATTGGCCTCCCTAATGCCCTGACTATCTGTCTCTCTCTTTTCCACTCCTGTATCATCATTTCTTTTTTTTTTTTAATTCCACCCACTCTGATTCTCTCCACCTTGAGAGAGCAAAACACCACCTACTCTCTCACCTCCCACTTATATCTTTGCTTCATTTCACGGCAGATAGGATTTTTGATTCGTCACAGCTGTATTTGATAATGTGAAAGAGCCATTCTAATGGTTTCCTGCTCGGTGTTGTTTCTTGCTTTTTACCCTGCATAACCAGATAGAGGAGATGAGTCTCTGCTGCATTAGGCTTTGCAGAGCGCTTAATGGGTTTGTATGTGGATTTGAAAGTGTTTTCAAGAATCCAGTCGGAAAAAAATTCATGGAAAAAAATTAAGTAAATAAAAGATCTTCTGTGGCCATTTGCGCATTCGCAGGCAAAAGTCAATGACAGATGAAATGAAAGTAAACAGGTTTTTGTACAGGCACATGTCAGTAAAGTAGTTTTTGTATTTTTGAGTTTATTACATTAGGGAAATGTGCAGCTTTTATGTATGTATATTTACCATATGTAGGTAGCCCAAGTAAATTAGTTAAAAATTGAATAAAGCTCTGCGATGATTAGTTTATTAGTTGTCAACTATGAAATTAATCAATAGATAATTTGAGTGATTAAATCAGTTTAAGTGCTTCTTAAGAAAAAGAGTATCTGATTCCAGCTTCAAACTTCTTTACGACAGTAAACTGAAGATATTTGAGTTGCGGAGAAAACAAGATTTGAGGATGGCATCTTGGGCTTTGGGAAACACTAACTGACATTTCTCATAATTTTCTGAGATTTTATAGACCAAACAACTTATCATTAATTGAGGTAATATTCATTAGATTAGTCGACAGGTTCTTAAAAAGTTTTCAGTTCTATTTTATAAATATTGGGCCTTCAAAGCTATTACGTAGCCTTAAATTTGAATTTGTGAGGTCTTAACTGCCACAAACATGTTATCTAATGTAATTTATCCATCTTTAATTTCCTTTTATCAAAATTAATCAAGCTCTTCTGTGTGAAAGTCCACATTTCTGAGGTTACAAATCTTTAAACTTACCACTAAATCTTACACTGTCTTTTTATCTGTTGACAAAATTTTGATTAGCCTAACTCACCACTACTTACCTTTATACTTACCTGCAATGCTTGCAAACAAAAGCTTTTTGTATTTCCAGTCCGTTAGCTGTCTTTCTGACAGACAGGTAGAGGTGTCAGCATGTAGCAGATGGTCTTTTATCCCTGACTGAGGAAATGGAGGACGGGGAATCAGAGGGAAGCAGTGCTAACTGTGACAGAGTCAATACCAGAGCATGATGGACTTAACAGATGTTTTAGAAACTTAACATGGCATTCAACAACAACAACAACAACAACAACAAATACTCTAAACAACAGCAAAGTAGGTACTGCATGATCTTTAGAAATATATAAGGATGACAATAGACACGAGCTCTTTTTGGCACTGTTTTCTCCATCGGGGGTTCCACATTTCTTTAAAGGTGAGGTGTGTAGGATTTAGGGGCATCTATTGGCAGAAATGGTATTTATTTGCTTTAACAATTGTTTATATTCTCCTGAAAAAAAGAATTGTGTTTTCATTACCTTAGAATATCCTGTTTATATCTAAATACGAAGTGGTTCCGCTCTCAAAGAGTCCCCCATATTGTTCTACAGTAGCTCAGAATGGACAAATTTAACACTCGCTCTAGTTAGGGACATCCTCGGCCACCATAGTTCTTGGGAGAAGTTTCAATTCTGCAGCCTCACCACTAGATGCCACTAAATCCTACACACTGGACCTTTAAGAGGTCAACAAGAAGGGCAGTGCTCCAGGTCTTCAGTGTAGTGGCTTTATTTCAGTCAGCTTCCAAAGACATACCCTTCTTCAGGGCTTTCAGAGCTTGTGAATGAGTGTTTATTGCTTAACTAAGATCTGTCAGCATTTGTTTAATCAAGGCTCAACATTCACGGTTCAACGTTCGCCCTTCTGGCAAGACATTTATTTTTTAAAGACTTTGTCAGCATGTTAAAATCTTTATTTTATTGGTGTATTTGGAATTTTCTGTCTAAATGAGTTTGACTTAACACGCATGTGCTCAATCAGGTCAGTGCCACATTAAAAGGGGGAGATGCAAAAATATATATATATATTTGTAATTTTGGAAGAGCAGCCTTGCTTTCTAATATTTTTCGACATGCTGTCAGATTAATACAGATGGCCAAATTCTCAATCAAAAGCAACATTTTTTAGATCGACGCACATGAAAAAGATAATCCTAATAGCTTGTTTGATGATATTTTATGGATAATGTTGGTAGTTTTGGGTTTGTCATGAATTTTGACCACAGCTCAGCCTGTTCAGACGTTTAGCACAAGTGAAATGTGAACAGGCCTCTGCTCTGCTCCCTGTTATTGTACTTCAACAGGCACAACAAGCCTTCCATAAAAACACAGGCTTTACAGCAGCCACATCTGTCAGACCCCAAGTACTCCCAAGGTCTCTGCTGTCGTGATTTCTCCCCTCCTTCTCCTTACTTTGGTCACCTTTCCTTCACTCATTTTTTTCCTCACACTTTTCTTTCATTCCCTGTGCCTCCCTCTCTGTTACAGTAACTCACGTTTTCTGTCTTCGCTACAAGCTACGTCTTTTTAAGTGCATCCATCTGAAGGTTAAAGTTATGTCATTGTATGCAGGTCAGACACATTTGGGTGAAATGAAAACTTCCTACACTCCACGAAGCCATCAATTTTTGGCAAAGATGAAAACTGACATCGCCCTACCGAAAAACAAAATGAGCAGTCAGAGAGTTCCTTCTGGCAAAGATGTTGGTGGGGGCGCGTCAAAAAAGCCGCCGCGCCACCGGCTGTGAATAGTTAGCTGAGTGTGCCCTGCCGACCCCGATCTCTTTTTCTCTCTTTCCCGTCTGAATCCCCTGCTACATTTCAAATTCTCCTCGCAGCCACAGAAGTGTGACTACACTGGCTGCCCCGCTGTGAGAAGCATAACCACCAAACCGCACGTCTCCCTCTGAATTTCCCTGCTTTAATGTGGGAACAAAAGCGCGAGGCCAAAGAATGTCAACCTCAGCTGTTATCTCACCAATTTCTAGCCAGCCTCCCCCGTGAAAACAACACATTTCTTTGTGTTTCCGAGATAAGAGGGCATCCCATTTGCTTACAAATAACAACTAATGCTCCGCGTCTCTAAGAATAGCTGCAATTATCATGGACGAGAAACCAAAAACTTTAATGAAATCAAGACACACGCCCCGAGCATCCTGGTTTGTCACATTTTGTTTCCAAAATCTCTAATTAATGGCAGCTTCATTTGCTGGGTTCTTATGCACCAAATGCATCTTTTTATAACATAATGTACTCAAACGTAGATTAACTAGAAAATAGGTTCTGTATATGTTGTTGCTGGCATGCTATTTCAGTAAATCCTGCTCGAAATGAATAAGAAAAAGAAATGAATTTGGGCTGTATCATTCTGTACGCTGAAGGGAATTGTAAAAGAAAATATGTGTGATGAAATATGTGTGACAGCAGCAAAGCCAACTGATACAATCAACCTTTTTTCCGTGCAAGCTTTCATGCACACAACCTGTGTTTACTACAGTGTGCTGACAGGTACACTTGCCCATTATGACTCTTTCAGTGCTGTCAACCTACATGTTTCCTGTGTCATGAGTCTATTTTCATGCAGGTTTCAGAAAATGTCACGGGGAATAATCATAACCACATGTGGTGTATGTATTGGTGACTGTTTTACACACCTTCGCTCCGTGTTGAGTCTGGCCGCTGTTCAGCTGTTGGACTGACATTTCCTTCCACTTTCTCCACCTGCTGTGTTTTTGACCCTGAAATGTTTTGTGGTACCTATAACCTCCCCCCTACTTCCCTCCCTCCCTCCGATTCTCTTACAGTCCCGTCACCCTCATCAGCATGTGTCCGGAGCAGTATGAGTGAGTATCTACGCCACCAGCAACAACACCTCGTTTCCAGACTGGAATGCCTTTTAACGACACCTCCTTTACTCCCCGCGCACATGCCCCCCTTTTTAGTCCTCACCCCCAACTAAGCCACGGCTGCACTGCATGTTGCCTGCCTGCATGGCTGCCCGACCCACTGGCTGAACATGCAACCGAAAAAACTCACCCTCTGTCTCCTTTCCGTCACCTTCTTCGCCTCTCTGAAGCACCCAACTAGCATTCAGTTGCTCATCCCAGCAGCGGCTGCCAGAAACCATCCAACCGCTCCGTAGATCATCCTGCTCTCCTATTTCTCTCTCTAGGATCATCAGATTTGTTTTCTAGGTGATGTTGTGAAGGGCCATTAGGTTGTGTGTGTGTGTGTGTGTGTGTGTGTGCGCGCGCGCCTGTGACTTTCTGTGTGCTAATGAGGTTGTGTGAGCATGCAGAATCTCATTCATCTCCATTACCCCATTCATTTCCAGGCTGTCCCAGTCACCTCAGCTCTCTCATGATGACACCCACTCCAGGATAGAGCAGTATGCCAGCAGGTATGCATTGCATTCCCCAATCATCATCATCTCATCATCTCAGATGCCTCGATGCACACACATAAAGACTTGCCAACTGTGTTTAAATGTTGCACATTTAAAAAGCTTCATTATAGAATGAAAAATCCACTTTTAAAGGACCACACAAAATTCACTTCTAACTCTTTTTCCTCAAGGAGCACTCACATTCAGTTTATACTTACAATGCATTGCTATACAACAGTTATCCTCCTATGGTTGGAAACAGTAAATGCAGACAGGATGTTGATGCTCAACCAGATCTTTATATATTCATTTGGTGAGAGCAGTGAGACAAACGGAAACCAGTTGCTGCCTTGAAGTGATGGAAAATCGCACGGGTCAAGAAAAGTGCAAATATGTGTAATTTTGTGTACATTATTTTTTTTATATACTTTATTAATCCCCGAGGGGAAATTAAATTTTTTCACTCTGTTGTCAATTACACACAGGTCCGAACACACATATGCACAAACAGGACCTATACATGCACTAAGTGGAGAGATGTCAGAGTGGGGCTGACCATGACGGGTGCTCCGAGCGGTTGGGGGGTCTATGCATTGCTCGAGGGCACCTTGGCAGTGCCCAGGAGGTTAACTGGCACCTCTCCAGCTACCAGTCCACGCTCCATATTTTGGTCCGGACGGGGACTTGAACAGGCGACCCTCCGGTTCCCAACCCAAGTCCCTATGGACTGAGCTACTGCCCCCCCCAAGTAAAGTTAAATCAAGCAAAAACCCCAGACCTCATAAGATGCACATGTAGTGCATTGTTTTATAGGAGAACTCCCCAAATAGTCATTTGTATATCAATTACTCACCCTGTTTTATGTTGAATTCATGAAGACAACTTAGTTTTTCTCACATGCCTGCATGATGAACGAAGAATCTAAGAACAGAGACAGATCTTTATTGATTGAAGTCATAAGGATCCATGTTAAACACCAGGTAATTTTAGAAAATCTTTGAACGCAGCCTGTGTACTATAATCCAAGTCTCATTTATCCAGTCATATGCTCAGTACTTCCCAAACAGACAGTCCTGTCTGATAGGGAGCTGAAAGGAAACTTAAACTTATCTATGCTCTCTTTAAAGCCAGACTCCATTCACAAAAACAGTCATTTTATCTTGCTGAATACAGGAGCTGCTGGTCCACTGCTGCCTGAATCTTTTTTTTGTGTGTGTTTTTGTGTGACTTTGGTGTTTCAAAGGGTTCAGATTCACCAAAGTCACACAATAACACAAACAAGCTAACTGATCAAGGCAGTGGTGCACCAGCAGCTCCTACGTGGGAAGTACTGAGCATACGACTGGATAAATGAGACTTGGATTATACTGCACGAGTTGTGTATATAAACAGATGTTTTGCTCTTGTTCTGTGACTTTAATTTATCATTTGGATCCCTTATTCACATTAGAGTCATGCAAGAAGTTCTCCTCAGAAGTTTAACGTAACACAGTAAAAGAAATTGATATACAAATGGTCATTTGGGGGCTGAGACATTTCTTTACACATTTAAAGAATTGTTGAGCTGCTGTAGATCTTTGACTCTACAGTAAAGCTTCCAGACAGTCCTACAATTCCAAATTATGTCGGATGCCTTCATTAGTTGCTCCTGTGCTTCTTGTAGGGGAGATGTTTGGTGTTTACTTTCAGTACACTGTGAAACAGGTCTCAAATTGACACTTTCAGGTCAGAACAGAGCATGTTCTGCCAGTATCTATCCAAGAACCCTGTTGCTTATCACAGAAATATGAACTGACTTTACTGAGCTGTGACGTTACAAAGACAGAACGAAGGAAATAGCATGTTTACCACAAAATGAGGGTGAAAAATAAGCATTTTGCCCTCATTTACTGTCATTTGGAAACCTGTCTCAGCATGAAATTACAGACAAATGAGAGAGGCAAAAATGTCTCCCCCTCAGAAAGCAGCAGAATAACTGGCCATGAATCTGCTCACATTAATGCTCCACAAAGTTCAGTGTGACTTTAAATATAGGATCATTACTGTCAGCCTGAACTTTTTGATATATCCATAGTGGAAAATACTGCATCTCTAGATATTTTAGAAACCCTGAGTGCAGAGAAAAGTTGCTGCTGTGGTACAAGAAGTGTCATTATGTTTCAGTAGACTATTGCATTTCTTTTATTGTTAAGTGTCAGGGAAGGAACAAACAGCAATCACAGTATACACCTTTGAACATTGTGTATCTGCTTTTTATTTTGCGGTGAACCCAAAAATTAAATGTCAAATGACTGTCAAAGTCTGCTGGTAGCTGTTTTAAGCTGCCCACTTCAAATGATCCTGCTGCGTACATCAGCACACCCATGTACACAGTGTGTGATCTGCAGTTAATCATCACCAACGTCACAACACTAATGTTCTGCTTTGCTGAGATTGAAATCCTGTCATGTTTGATCCGAAGATAGGTCTGAATATAAGGATCCCAAAGTATCACAAATCCCGTCTTGCCGCTTTTAATGAATCTCTAATCAGTCCAAAGCTTATCTTCCCTAAAGCGGACAAGGGTTACTTGTGTCAAAACGGAACCCAGCATCCTGCCACAAAAAGCTTTAATCATGACGGCTCGTCTGATGCAGCGCGCCTCTGTCTGGCCTGTAACCTTTCACTGGTCACACACCATTAACCTTCGCTCAGCGTCTCTGCCTGCATTGTTTTATCAGCAGTGACACAGACATGAGCCTCGTGAATTACAATTTTAACTGAAATGTAGGACGCTGACATTGTAGATTATAGTGTAGCCTAAAGATTTGCATGGGGAAATGTGCCCAGTGATCAGTGGAATAATAACTTTAAATATCTCCCTCCCCGTGCATATGCTGTCATAGGTCAATTTCATTCTAAAGTTAAGTGTGTGTGTCCTTAATCTGCTGGTCAACCCTGCTGCCCCCTGTTGCAGAGCTCAGTAAATTAGGGGTGCAAGGGTACACAGATGTCACAGTTCAGTTCATACCACAGTTAAGAAGCCACAGTTTGGTACAGGTTTGTTACAGCAGGTTTGTTTATTTTTTGTTAATGACGGATACATTCCTCTTGCTGGGGTCTGACGTAACATTTTACCTACTGGCAACTTTGGTAAATTACTTTCATTGTGAAAATTAGGAACATTTTAAACCCTTTTGTGTTTCACTTAATGAACACTGAACAAGCACTTTCCCAAAAAGCAACAGGTCACAGCAGGCCATAAAACTGAAAAGCATCTCATCTGCTATGAAACTGAAAAAAAACAAAATATAATTAATGATAAAAAAACAAAACTGGTGCATTAGGAGGAGAATTTTAATTAGTTCCACCTCAGCTATACTTGAATGTTCAAAGCACCCAAACATTTATCATCCATAATTGGCACATCTGAGTGATGCCGTTGAATGCATGTTAGGTTAGATGTGTCTCCATTGACACTGTCCTTGTTTTATATATAGCTCTCTCTCTGTTGCTGTTTCAGCTGACCGAGAACCCGCAGGCAGGTCTTCCTGCTCTGGCATTTGATTTGCGCTCACCACAATGTGACTGACTCACCAGTCCGCTTGTTTGCTTAAATGAATATATGCTGATAACAGCGTACGGCCAAAAGTTTCCAAGTGGTGCTCACGCTTGTGAACTTTGACTCTGTATTGCATGCAGCCCCTGTGTTCTGCATGTGGCTGCAAGCACTGAAGTGTGGCCCCTGTATCATGGCGGTTTGGTATGAATTCACAAAATGGCTGCTTTGTCTGAATATATGACCAGAAATCAAAATGTTTTACACACAGACACATGCACCAACACACTCAGACATTTCTGCTGTACAAATGTCTCCACAAATATGTTTGTGCACACACATAAAAGACCACAAAGTTGTATTTAGTCACAACTTGAGTCATTCGTCATTTACCCTTGGAGACTCCATTCTTTTATTTTTATTGGTGTGCTACTGTGGCATTGGGCTCCACATCTGTTGACATCACAGTTCTGCATTTTGATGAGACGATGGCAGCATTTGAATGCTTCAGTTTGAACTGGTAATTAAAGCTTCAGTCACTGATGAGGGTTTCTTTCACAGGTTGGCTCAGATGGAGCGCTCCAACGGCTCTCTGCCCACAGACAGCAGCTCAGCCACAGGAAGCATGTAAGTCACCTCTTTTCATGTCCAACAGTTATATACGTTTCCACATGACATTCAATGTGACCGCACATTTCCATCAAACCTGAGCAGCAACAAAATCAGGTCCAGAACTGAGCCTAAGACATCTTCTGATACATCTTCCCGTGCACCGTTTACCTGTCCGGGTATCCCAAAAACTTTCCTTCCCTGCTTTCAGTGTATCGAAACCAGCCAAAGATTTAATAAGGTCGCTTTCTGCGTTCCTGAAACGAGATCAGGAGAGAGCGAGTGAGAATTGAGAATGATTTTGAGAGAGCAAAAGAAGTGTGGAGTGAGAGGGGAAAAGAAGATGGGATGTGATTGAATACAGCGGGAAGGACAGGACTTTAGTAGAAATGTAATGGATTAGAGTGCCAACAATGAGAAGTGAGAGTGATTGGTTTCAGGATCTCTGATAACGACCACTTATCTTTGATCAGAGGAGATGAGGACATGGCAAACTTGAAAAAGGAAAAAAAATCACAAAAAACGGGGCTGATGAGGAGCACAGGCGCTGAAGTTTCTGATGTGTGAGTGTGTGTGTGTGTGTGTGTGTGTGTGAAGACATGTGCATGTCTTCTGTAGGCCATTTGAGTTGAAGGGCGCATTTGGCTCTTTTCTCGACTGAGATCCTAATCGGGGGAATGAGCTCTTGAGGTTCAAACGCCCTCTGAGCTCATGGACACACATGTGTTCAAACAGAAGCACACTCACACTTTTTACTGTGTTCCTGTCTTTGGAGGAAATTACTTTCTGTCCTGATAGCCTGTTTTGATAAGGCTCCTGCAGATCACAAGATTTCCCACATCATAGATCGTCATCACAGATTTGGAAATCAGCAATGTGTGAAATGAATTTGCGCATGAGAATATAGCAGATACAGGAGATTTTTTTTTTTATCTCAACAATTTCAAGTAGCACAAAGCCAAAAATCAACTTTTTTACACAAATGTGTTCAGAAGTGTTAAAAAAGTGTGCACACAGAGGGTGGAGAGATTCCCAGTATGCCATATAAACAAGTTTTGGGATTTTTAAAAGAGTATTGCAGCACAACAGTGAAAAGGCACATAGGAGCACGGTTAAAACCCTTTGAGCATCTCAAGTGAAGATGAAGCAGCGAGCTTGATTCTGTTGTAGGGTGTATCCCCCTGCTGATGTCTCTGCATCGTGTGGACCACTGCTCCCACACTTCACCTTCATCCGACCTTGCCGCGTAGAAAAGCGGTTTTAGAAACAGAAGGTGTTCGATTGAAGACTCCCAAAAGCTCTCTTCACTTTTCAGCTGATCAATAGAAGGACGGGAGAGTAGCAAGACAAAATGTGTTGGTGAGCAGGAGAAGGTGGATTTATTTTCCGTAATGCGAGAGAAACACATTATCCCCACTCCTCCTTGCTCCATTGTGCTTTGTACTCGGGCTTATTTAAGAGAAGAAGCCATTATCTTTGCCAGCTCCGGAACAACACTGACGCCAGCACACACAAGTGTGTAGAGCGCTAATGAGGTGAGGGAGATGATGGTTTGATGAAGGCTAATGGGTTTAACAGCAGAGGGAAAAAACACCCACCAGGGCACATTTAGAACATAATCATAGTTCTTGTGCTTTCACTCACTTTCACATCAGTGTCATTTCTGTAAGATTTGCATCCAGCTCTGCTGCAAAACAACAACAGCCACAATGTAACTATGAAGACAATAAAGTGCAGGATAAAAAAGAGCTAATTTAAATGCAGATCACAAACAACTCCAGAACTAGTGCATTTTCCCAGCACATATTTTTAACAATAATGGCTGTGTCGCACAACAAAGCACCTGTGTGTGTGTGCTGCATAATTTACATTTCAGGAAAGAAAATATCCCTTTATGAGCTGATGTACATTTTTTGTAATGCAAAGCCACATTTGGTTATTATTATTATACACAACCAGGCTCTCAATGGAGAGTTGGGTTTGGGTTTGAGACACAGTATATAATTTTATTCATTGCAGTCTGAATGAAGGCTGATACTCACTATTATTTTTATTATCGACTGATCTGCTGATAATTTTCACAATTAACTGATTTTTCATTTATTTGTTGTATAAAATGTCAAAAATTATGCAAAATGCTCATATAACAGTCTCCCAGAGTCTAAAGTGACATCTTCGGTTTGCTTCTTCTGCCCAGCCATCAATTAAAAACCCAAAGAGTCTTCAGTTATTATCATAAATGTCAAAAAGAAGCAGCACATTCTTACATTTAAAGGGAAGCTTCACCTGATTTGCAATGAGATGAAACCATTTTAGAACTGTGAACTGACTCAGTCTCAGCAACAACTCCGCTGGCCAAATCGCCAGCGGCTGGTTTTAGAAATTAAAGCACATCGCCTGTTTCAACAGCCAATCATCCCCGCAGAGCCCTCTGTTTTTGTCCTCAAGCTGTGCCGGTGTCGGATGGTGGGTCGCTGCTGCTGCTCGCTGTATGTGCTTATGCCCCCTCCACACACACACACATTCTCATTGACTGATTATTTGCTGCTGGGTATTTATATTATTTAGGCGTATTTGTAATGAATGCAGTCCATCTGATGCTTGTTTTGATCACCGTTTCATCACTACAACAAATGCAGCTGTAGCCAGTATCTCACTATCATGATCCTCACTTATATTTTAAGAAGCTACAAATTATATTCAGCCACAAAATAAGCCTGAAAAGCTGGAAATCAGAACAGAAGTACAGAGAGTTGTTGCATAGAGATGATACACCATCTCGCCTAGTTGCATTGGTGTGAACCGGCAGGTTTTTACAACGTTGCTGAATGGCACATTACAAATCGTTGCCTGTTTCAACTCGTCTCGTCATGAATCTTTGGTCTGAACTGGGCTTAAGACAGTCCAAAAACAGAAGGAGACATCAACAACTCTTTGTCAAATCCATAAACTAGAGTGCTAAAACTCAAATTTTTGATGTCATAGGGTATAAAGTCTGTAGCTGCTCCATAGACACTGAATAGTAAAAGATGGTCTAGGGGACACTGAGAGCAGACAGGGAAATGTTCTGAGTATATGGGTACATTTTCTGTTGCAGAACTGAGAACACTACAACAGACTAAAGCTCATTTGGGTGTAAAAAAAAAAAAAAAAAAATTCTGTGGGTCCACAAAATCAATCTCCCATTTATTGTCTATGGAGCAGCTCCAGACTTTTTTACCCTGACGTCACAAGTTTGAGATTTACTTCTCTGGTTTTTGGCTTTGAGAGAAAGTAGATCATGTTCAGAAATATTGATTGTACTTTCCAAGGCAGTGGAAATAATATATTGGAATTCTTAATTTAGGTGCTGTTCCCCTTTAAGAAGCTGAAACCAGCAAATGTTTGACATTTTTGCTTGAAAAATGACAGAACGATTAGACGATCATCAAAATAGTTTGCGATTAATTTCTTTTTGGTTGATTAGTCGACTAATCACTGCAGCTCTAGTCTTCACAGTACCACTAATTAGTGAAAAAGTATTGGCTCCATCCAGTTTGTCTGCTGTTGTACGTTATTATTTTGTTCAGAATAATTAACATATTTGAATGGCTCTTGATTTTGACAGAACCAAGAGATGTTGAGACCTTTGTGATGAAAATTAGTACTTGTGACAGTCATCATTACAGCCTGCTTTATTCGCTGAGAATAATTTAATTGTACACTTAATATACATCTTTGCGGGGATGTTTTTTTTTTTTTTTTTTTTTTTTGTAAGTCTGCTGTATTTAAATGTGATAATGCTCGCTTTATTGTTACTGCGCTGCAATAAAATGTCATTCACTGTAGTTGTGATTGAAATATGGGCTGTTTTAAAAGGCCAGAATCTGTCTGCAGACGTGTTTTAATATGCTGACGTGTCCGTCAAGCCCTACTTTTAAGGAAAAAGTAACTTGTAAAAATAGCAGTATTGTGCTTTATATATACACCGCTAAAGTAGAACAGCCCACTCAGCCATATCTTGTCTCCAAAGAGGAAGCTGCACATTGTGTTGTCAGAAGATTTCCTCTTCTTTTTAATGCCTTTGGTTTGGAGTGGCCGATTGTCTCTTTTTGTAAGATTTATTCTTTTTCCGCCTACAGCTGATTTCACTCAAGCCTCTTTGTCTATCACATCATAGCTGCTGGTTGTTTGTGAGGAGGACACACACACACACACACACACACACACACACACATAGAAATGATCCCCATGCTTGACACGATGGTAGAAGGTGCCTTCTTGGCAGTGTTTAAGCTTATGAAAACATGCATAGTGCAACATGGATGACTGCGTTTACCAATTACATGCATGTTTGGCATTTGGCTTGTATTTTCTGATCGCTCAAAGCCTGCAAACACTGATTTGGACTCGCTGCCAGCTGTGAAGTGATATCAATAATTAGTGTGTGTGTGTGCGTGTGGGAGAAAAAACTGGAGATAAAGTATGTGTGCCAGTGGTTTCAGTGTTTGTGTTTGCCATTTTGGTCTTGCATTGCTTTTATCTAAAAAGCAATCCTTAATTAGGAAGTCGGTGTTGCCTATTTTCTCTGACCTCCAGCCAAAGCGCAGTGTTGTCATCAACGCCTCGGGGCGTCACCAAGGAGCGAGACTCCCCGCTTCGCTTTTTCCAGCCTGGCTTTTTTTTTTTTTTTTTGGGTTATCTCTGGCTTTCCAGTCTTTCCCCCAGTGCTGTCTCTTTTTCTTTTTTGTCTTTTGATATTTTGCCCTTTATTCACATCCCTCTCCTTTAATTTCACCAGCTCTTTTCTTTTTTAAGCCCCCTTTCATCATGCCCTGTCCTCCCCTCTTTCGCTTCTCCTCCTTTCATCATTTTTAGTCGTAGTCTACTCATGTTTTACCTTTGGGCTTAGGCAACCTTCAGATTGAACACTAAGCACAGAGGTAAACACTGAAAGACCTTCTTTTTGAAGCCCCTGCATCATAAACAATACACCTGGACTTTATTGTGATCAGTCCCCAAATGTGGAAGTCCCACAG